GTTGTTGTTCCCCCAGAAATTGCAGAATCTAGTGACGAGGAAGAAAGGAATGGCAATGTTTTAAATAATGATAATGATATTTTACCAAATGATACTGCTAAGGAAGTTGAAATTCACGTAAGAAGTAAGTTTCAGCCTTCTAAAAGCAGTTATAGTCATACTAAAAAGTTTAAAAGGCAGAAGACTGAAATCTTGAAGTGGATAAAAAAGGAACTGTTAGTTATGTCTCAGGAAGAACAAGAAGAAAGAGATAGAAGAGAATTTATAAAAGTCAAAATACAAGGTAAAACTAGAGCACAGATTTTCGATTTTCTTTTTGGTTTAGATATTTACTCTCTTCTCGTTGAACAATAAAATATATACGATCAGGAAAAAAAAATGCCCAGAATTTATTGCATCTGAAGCCTATATGAGAAGATTTATTGGAATATTATTGCTTACAGGATATCATTCTTTACCTCAAAGAAAAAATGTATTGGTCTTTTGATAAGGACATTTCTGTATCTATTGTACGAGAATTGATATCACATTTGCAGTACAGGAATATGAAGCAGAATTTGCATTTGACAATAGTCAAATTGACAATACTGGTAAATTATATGAGGTGAGACCATATCTAAACTTACTAAATATCGCCACTTTTTACTACTGGAAATATAAAGTCTCTTTTAGATTTCAGACGCGAGAATGCATTATTCCTTTTGCAAACTCCTATTGAGAAGGAAACTCCTCCTAGAATCAGCCAGAAATCAGCAACAGGAAGACCTAGTAAATTCAGCATTCAATAACCATTGGATGGAGATAGTAGAGATTTTATCGTTAAGTCCGTTGATAACAAAAGACTTTTTTTGTAAAGCCACACTGTTTATAGATGCAAAGGATGTAATGTAGCTTTACATCATGATTGTAATCAAACTTTTCATGCTTGAATCTTTCAATAGAAATAATCTGTATTTGTAAAAGAAAAGCAATGTATATTTTAATATTAAATTAATTACAAGTAAAGTGATTTGTAGATTTATAAAATGTTGTACAGCTAAAAAGTAATCCTGCGCTCGTCTCAAAAGAAACATCACACGAGTACAATCCTACTCACTAAACATCCGTAGTCTTATTCCGCTGACGTTGCATGAATGCAACACTCGCGTTTTCCACAGGTAAGAGCATTTTTTTTTTATTTTCAATGTAAATTTATGTTATAAATGCTTAATTTAATATTTGTTATTATTTTCATGAGAAAAGAAACATTCCTTGTAGTTTTGGCGGTTAATGGGTTAACAAAAAGTCCACAAGATTTAAAAAAATTTTCCATTTTTATGCTGTGCTGGATTTTTCACAATTCATAGCAAACCTTCTATCAGTATTTGATAGAAGCTCACTCCATTTTTGAGCTTCTGATTACTTTTTTTTTTCCCCTCACTCTTCATTTCCATTTGACATTTTTCTGCACATTTTTTGCTATTAGATGCACTACATTTTTCTTCTGACACATTTTGAGATACTGATTATTTTACATTTCTTTCTGCTCCTTAATACAGAATAATATGAAAGGGGTAACCATCATAAGAAGCTAATACCCACAGTTAGTATCCAAATTTTACTGGTTTTTCTTTCATATGCATTTTACAACCATGTTGACCGAAGTAGCTTACCATTCTTTCATTAATGCTTAGATTTTTGGAAAATACACCTAATTGATTGTAAAGCATCATTCAGTAAATCATAAATTGGATGTACTTTGTAATAGCAGTCCGAATCAACAATGCTATTGTCACTGAAATGATTGTATCGCTTAATTTCAAAATATCTGTTTCGTGGTATTGCTTGACTAACTAGTATAGTTCCTGTATCTGGCACATTTTCCCAGTATTTTTTTCACATGGTAAAATGTGGTAGCCAGTATAAAAAAGTATACCTAAGAATTGCTTGAGTTCTTGTTTTGCAAATGAAAAATTATGATTTTTTTCCTCTGCCCAGAGTATCTGTTATTCTCAATAGCAGCTTTGCCTGTCATTTTTTCAGGAATTAGTCATTATTCGACTAACTAGCATAATTCCTATAACTGGCACATTTTCCCCAGTACATTTTTTTATGTCGCAAAATGGAGGCCACTATGAAGAAGTATACCTAAGAATTACTTGAGTTCTTGTTTTATCAATGAAAAATTATGATTATTTTTCTGCCCAAAGTATCTGTTACTCTAAATAACAGCTTTGTCTATCATTTTTTCAGTGATACATTCAGTGTTCTGTAGGAGATTTTTCCAGAAACAAAATCAGTTATAGACTAACTAGAACCTTGAGAAAATATTTCTGAAGCATGTGAATATTTTGGAATGCAATCTTTCCAATCAGGTTTTGGCACACATATTTCATTATCTTCATTTCTTACTAAAATTTTCACAGTTCCTGCCGTTCCTATAGCTGCTGCTGCGTTTTTGTCACAAATAGTTTGGCTGTGTCTAGTCATCATCTATTCCTTCATTGTCACTGACTGCATCTGGATCAGGTGGTATTATTACCATTTCTCGCTCAATATCTTGATCATCTAATGTCATAAAATATTCAAAAGCTTCTTCAACTGTTAGAAATTTTCAACTCATTTTGGATGTGTAAAATAAAACATACCTTACAAAATGAACAATGACAAAAGTAATTTCTTTGATACAAATAAAATGTGTGAAACGGCTTTCAGGTGCTAAATATAACTCTTTACAAAAGGGGTTGGACAAAAAATAGTTGATCGCTACATTTTACGGGGGGGGGGGGATGAAAAGGGCGTGTGAAGAATGCAAGAATTTGCAGTGAGCATTTTTTATGCAGTGATTGTGAAGATGACATGAAAAATCGCTTGCTTGGATTATCGCAAAAGAAGCTGTTAAAATCTGATAAAAATGTTACAAAAATAATGCAGAGTGCTTTTGAAATCATTTTGAGGATGATTACGAAAATGATGTAGGAATAATAAATCAGATACGAATGATTTTAAAATAAAAAATGATGATGTAAATATTGTTGAATAACTGTAAAAATAATCATGAATGCATCAATAATTTGTAGAAAACAAAGCTAGCTCAGCATTTTAGGTAATTTATGATTGTATAAAACATCAAAGTAATATCGCATAAAAAAGTCTTCCTCCTTAGGGCCCCTTTTGAAAGATTAAGTAATTCTCTTTAGATACTGTGAACAAAGTTGTTTTGACAAACTTAAGACAACAATTATGTATTTATTTAAGTGTAATATATATGTATAAATGGGAGTATAAGTTAGACAATTATTTAAAAAATATCTGTTGTTATATCAAATTGGAAGAGAAACTTGCCAATGTAAAATTTATAATTAGGTCAAAAAAGCAATCTTGGCTTGGATTAAATTTTGAATTAAAACTATCATTTTCAAGGGTGATCAAACCTAAGTTCCTCTTCTTTAGCTGCAGGAAAAAAATAACATATATATTCAAAACTATGTCAAACTATTTTTTTTTTTTTTGCTTAACTTTAAAAAGTTGTTATCGTTATCTTGGAAGGAGTAATAAAACTCTCTCAGTATGCAAATGAAGAAAATATAATGAATGCTATATTTTTTCCTTAATGATTTAATAATACGTGTACAGGGGGTTGAGACCTCCAACTTTTTAGAAAGCGTAGTGTTTTATCTATTATTTTAAAATTACTAAATAAGTATTATTAACATTTTTAACATTATAAATGCATACAGTAATAATATATTCTCTTGCAAGTGATAATATATTACATGCGAGTGAAGCCATGCAAAAAAGTCTGAATGTTATGCACATAATTTCTTGGCTATGTATGCAATTTTAATGTATGTTGAAAAAGAATAGGTAATCTATTGACATTAATGAATGACTTGTGTTATGTAATAATACGTCTAACAAAATTGTTAACTCAAAAATATCGCAATATTTTGATAGATTTTTTTACTATTGCACTTGCTGCATTTATGTTGAAGGCTCAAGAAAGTATTCATGTGGCAAAGCAATATGCCGCCAAAGTAATTATGTGGCAATCCATTATGTGAGTAGAAATTATTTATGTGGCAATGCAGTTATGCGTTTAGCACATGCCTGCTTTGTCTGGTGCACGATACTAAAGCTGTATGGATACTGAATTTGCCCATTGCCCTGATATTCTTCAGGTGAACAGAAATCTCTGTGTGCATGGGGAGAACAATAGCATAGACAGAGATCACTATGTGTATGGACAGAACAACAGCATAAAAAAATTTCTATAAGAAATTAAATGTTTTATTATTGATGTTTTTGCTTTTTTTATTGATTGATTGCTGTTGTATGAAGTTTTTAGCCCGCTGTTGTTTTGAAAAGGGCTGTTGCTAATTATGCTTAGTAAATTGTATTAGCTTAGTAAAAAAATTAGTCACCATCGAATTTGTGAATGCTTTTCAAATTCATTATTTTTTCCATAGTTTTATTGAAGTACTAAACATTTTCAGCAGAATCATCAATAAAAGTAAGTAGAAAACTGGATATTAGCTGAGTATTTGGAGGACTGAAATTTGTACAACTTCTGGAATTGAAATAGCTAAGTGAAGATTCAGCTGACAGATTCAGCTTCAGTCATATGCTGGAAAAAAAATTTTTTTTTCCTGTCATTTCTGCAGATGTTATTTCTGGCTTATAGTTAATACTATCATAGTCACTATTCATATTTGATCATAAGTGTGTTTCATTGTAAATAGGTAAACAATGTTAATGTAGCATTGAAAAAGAGTTCTTTTTCTGGCATTTTTGCAGATATTTTATTTTTGGTTTATAGTTAACACTAGGTAAAATTCATGTTTGATCATAAATGAGTTTTATTTTAAATAGGTAAGCAGTGTTTATGTGGCATAAAGTAATAATCTTTATGATGTTTTATCCTCATCTATTGTTCATTTAATTTTTGAGTTATTTGCTGAATTTGTGTTTCTGATTAAAATTTACTCAGCAATGTACAGTTTTTTTATTCCTTTTTTCAGAAATCTATTAAGCACAGCACAGTTGAAAATCCTCAGGATTTAGCCCCAGAAAGCCTGGCAAAGTTTAAGAAACTTAAGAAAACTGCAATTGAATTATCTTATGAAGGGAAGTTTCAAGAAGCTTTAGAAAATTTTAAAGAAGCATTGAAGATTTGCAGCTGTCCTAAAGTTAAAAAACATGCTGAAGAAGTTGAAGTATGATGTTAAAATTAGTAACATACTTTAATTAGTCATAAGTCTTAAATAAGTATATTTATTAGGTTATAGAATTTATTGTTAATAATTTGTTAACATGCATAAGAAAAATATTCTATAAAAATATTGTCATATATGTGGTTTTTCTGTTTAATACAGTCAAAAGTCGTTAATCCAGACTTGTCAGGACTTTGCCGATTTCGGATTATCGATTTTTCCGGATTATAGATCATCAGTTTAAATCTGGTAAGATGGCATGCAGAAATTATAAAATTAAAAATATGAAACCATAATCTATGAAATAAAGAACAATTATGATCTAAAGGGTATTAAAATTTACAAAAAAGCGTAATATTTATTTGTTTACTTTATTAAACATTTCTTTCAATGCGCGCATGCGTAAAGCATACATTACTCATAGTCGAAGTTAGAAAATTGCAACCAGAAAACTATTTGTTGGGTATTCGTGATATTTAAAACGATGAGGAATTTGATATAAATCATATCAAAGACGGAGTACATCGAGATGAAATACTACATTTAGTAAGGAATTATAAGCCGAATAAAATAAAAACATCTGCCCTGAAGATAAAGATAGTGCTGACAGATCCACTCGAGTTCATTGCGCGCCGCGCCCCCCTCCCCCGGCCGCAGAACAGCGTGAAATTGATAAACAGATTTTGGAATGGTTAGAGAAACAAAGGATATGCCTTTATCCATTTTTTGCATCAATTCCACTTTTTGTTTAATGGACATCGAAACTGCTTTCGCTTTGTAGATCGTTTGGCAGCTCCAGAATCGGTCTTTTTGACATAATCAAAAGTTCAAGCTTACTTTTATAAAATTGCTCTAACAGTCTGCAAAAAATAATAAGCTGGATCCAATTAGAAGATTAAGGAACAACGCAATCTGCAACACTAACTGAAATAGATAATTTTAGCTTAGCTTATACCGTCCGTTATACATTAAACGCGTATGCGTAAACGCATGCGCATAATACCTTTACGCATGCAGAACGTTTATAGCTTTAAGGTCCGAGGATTATGGACGCCCGTATTAAAGACTTTTGACTGTACATTGTTTTTAAATCACTGAGTTTTTTTTATCAAAAATTCTCTAAATTCGCACAAAACAAAGTAAATAAACAAATAAAAAATTCAGGCTTTAAGGTGCGCATGTTCAAGAAAAGAACGATTTGTATTAAAAATTTGATGGCTTCAGGTGCTACCATTTTCCGCAATGTGAGGAACGTACATACATGTATATATACATATAGATTTTTCTTTATTTAATGATAAAAATTTATCCCTGTATTAATGTTATATTTTCATCATGCATTTACATGAGTGATATGCAGTTTTATTGTATGAGAATTAATGCATTCTCCATTCTTTGTGAATAAACTGTACTCTCAGGGGGGGGGAGGCTTCTGTTTTTTATGATTTGGCAAATTATGAAAACTTGCAATTATTTAGGGAAAAGAAAACGGTTAGGAAATTCAAAGAATAAAATTTAATGGAATGCTCCCTTTTATAACACTGGTGTAGGACAAGAATTTGTCATAGTAAATTCTTAATAGTTAATAACTGTTGATTAAAGTCTAAACTGCTTGTTCAATGCAATTTTTTTAACTTTAAGTTAAATGTGATGCTATTAAGTTTTTTTTTTTTTTTAATCTATTAGCTATCTGTGTTTGTACGTTTTAGAAATGGTTAAAATTAAATACTTATTCAATTTTTGTGCCCTGTAATTACCAAAAGGATGTACAGAGTGTAGAAAATATCATTTATGGCTTTTATGTACCATATCTTTTAATAAAAGTGCCTTAAAAGCTTGCACTGTACTAAAAGTGAATTCCCAATTTTTTTTAAGTATGTTTTGTTTCGATTCTGATTAGTGTAAGAAAATGTATGAACACACGTTTTATACAAGAGTACAGAAATCATTTTTTATGTGAACAATTTTCAATGAATTATATTTTAAAAAAAATCAACCAACTTAAAATCAGAAAATATTAAAAAATATGTATCACGAACACACATATATGCATACACATACACATATATAAATTATGTAGGTTAAAATCATGCATGTACATTTTGTAATCATGCATGTACCTTTTTATCTACTTAATATGTATGTCTATGTATGTGTTTTGAATTTGGGGGGGGGGAACTGAAATTATCAGCTATCATTTATTTATTTTTTTTACTTTCCTTTAAAATTCAGTTTTTTAAATCAGGTATAGTTCTGAAATTTGCATGTTTCAAGGTTCGATTTTTTACATATTGCTATATGTAGCAAACAAAGTACTTAATTTCAAGCTTGCTTTCTTTATTGAAAAAGATTCTGGCACTTGAAGAATCATTGCTTTCTTGTTAGATGTTCTATTCTGGAACTGCATTCTGTACATGCTTTTAAATAAAATTTACCTTATATTAACTAATCTACACCGAGGAACTTTGTATGCAGTTAAGAGAAGAAGGTATAATTATGCATGGTGGTTACATCTGCTAGGCAGATTTTTGTTTACAAATTGCAGTAAATGATAATACAAGGGTAGTATTATTGGTAATATAACCTATTGATGAAAGTCATAGATCAGTTAATATGCAACTACCCCCTTCTTTTAATCATCAGGCATGTAAATTTTAATGAACTTATTAATTATAAATAGACTTGAGCAACATTTTAAGTAAGCATGAGTTATTCTTATGAAGCATAACATAGCATTCATTTTTTCTTCTAGCATTCATTTTTTCTTGAAAAACTAATCTAGCATCATACTTTTTTATTCTAGTCTGCAATTGCCAAACATTCTAATCAACTGGAAAAATTTCAAAATTTAACTGAAATTGGGAAAAAACTTGCAAGTGAAGGAAAGCAAACTGAATCACTTCAAAGATTAAAAGATGCATTTCTTGTTTGCCCATCACCTAAAATTTCAAAAATGATTAAAGCCATAGAGGTAAACTTTATTATGTACTTTATAAAATTGTTATTTTAAATATTTTATAATATAAAATTATAATAAAATTATTATTTATTTTTTTGTAAAAATTGCTTGTTTATTACTTCAGGATATTTAATTTCTGAATTCCATATTCAGGTAATAATTAATATATAAGATTCTGATTTATATAATTAAAATTGTATATCTTGAGTGTACTTTTTATGTTTTAGTGAATTTTAAAGTAACATCATGAAAAAAATGAGAAATTTTGTGTTTTGCCTATGTTAGTTTTTTCCCTTTTATCATTTGTTTTTTAAAACAAATGAGTACATTTAAATCATCTTTGATGATTAATTTTAAATTTAGTTCTAGATGAAAAAGTTTATCTTCTAAACCAGTAGAAGTTCTGAATATAGTGTAATGGGTACATTGATGAAATTGTGATCTACTCCTTTTAGTTATGTAATTACAATCTGCCAAAAAAAGGACAGTTTTATCACTCTCGTTCTACTTCACCCATTGACGAAATTTAACTTGCATTTTTCATGTCTCGAAAATGCCGCTTAGGATACATATTAGATTAATACATAGCAATTGTTCTATCATAAGTATTTTGAAACAAAATGAGATTTCTTTGAAATGATGTACTGATTTTTCTCTGTATTTTGATTCTGATTTTTGGATACTAAAATTTAAAAAAGAGCACAGAAATACAGTAAAATAAGTGATTGTCTTTTTAATTAAAATGATGATTGAATTAAATTAATAACTATAAATAACAAATAGTAATTTTAATATAAACTACAGGAATTTTTTGAAAGCAAATATCATTTATAATTAAAAATACTAATTTATTTTTTGTTTTCAACATAAAAAGTTAATATTAGTTGGAAGTTAGACAGAAAAGAATTAATGCAACTTCAGATAGTTTATAAAAATTTATTATAATCTGCACTTTAAAAATGCAGATTATTATAAATTTTGTATATTTAGCTGTATTTTGTATTTTGTGTAAATTAGCTGTATTTTGTTTTTTGTGTAAATTAGCTGTATTTTGTGCAAAATTGTTTCTAAATCCTGTGTGCATTGGTTTTAGTTAACAAGTACTCCGTTTGCTTAAAAAAAAAAAAAAAAAAAAAAAAAAAAAAAGTATGAAATTTTCAGGTACAAAATTATTCAAGAAGTAAATCTTTCAAGTCTAATCTAAATCTCTTTTAGAGATGTTAGTGTCCCTTTTATATGTTATTATTTTAATTTCTGCTTTGAGTCTTCAACACTCTGGCTCATATGGCTTTTTAGATTTGCTTATGAACTGTATTTAAGCACCATGCATTAGCTAAATTTGCATAATTAATTATTTTCATCTGTTTTCATAAACTTTCATTTATTTAGATAATATTTAGATCATTAAAGAAAAACGAATAATGCAGTAATATATACCAACTAATGAAAACGTCTTATCACTTGATAAAGGCAGTCATGCCACTCAGGAAGTTAAAATATGTATTAAAGTTTCTGGTATCTTGGAAAAAAATTTGTAAAACTAATATTTTCATTATTTCATGTGTGTATTGCTAAAAAATATATACACTTTTTTTGTTTAAAATTTCAGTACTTATGTTTTCCTTGTCCACCATTTCCAATAAACAAAATTTGGTTTATTTTATGATTATCTGCATCTCTGCCAAAAAATCTGTAAAAAGTATTCATGAGGTAAAGTAATTTGTTGCCAAAACAGTTGTGTGTCAACTCAGTATTTATGGGCCAACTGAGGCATATGCAGAGCATGTCTGCTTTGATTCATGTGCAAAGCGGAAATTATATGGAGCCGAGAATGTGCAATTCTCTGATTCCCCCCCCCCCCCCAAAGAAAAAAAAGGGGGGATTTCGAAAGAGATTTCTATGTCCATTTGGAGAAATGAGGATTTTTTACAAAATGTTTTAGTACTCGTGTTTCTTACTTTTTTAATTTTATTTATTGATTGGTCATGTATGGAATTTTTAGCACATTACCATTCTGAAAAATCATTGTCACCTTTCATGCATTAATTTGTTAAAAAATTAGGCATCAGTAAGTTGCAAATACTTTCCAAAACCAGCAATGAGTTTGTCTTTTCCATTAGTGTTGTTAAGGGACAGATAATCAGAAAGTACCAAATCCAAAGTAAAGTAATGTTGTTTTTTACTCTGGTACTTTTTTACTTTTTCAAACGTACCATTAATGGATGTGATGTAACACTGTATTTGTAAGATCTTTGCTTTGGTTTTATGTAATTGTGATTAAGCCGATTTCACGTCTGTATGAAAGGATATAAGTTTAAACTATTTTTCTGTTTTACTTGCATTTTGGAATATATATATATATATATATATAGGACCTGTCATTTAGAAAACAGTAAACTGGAGTATTTTTAAAATTATGAGCCTACTTATATTGGTGTGCACACCCAAACCATTGATAGTTTCTCAGGTTCAGCAAAAGGACATAATAAAAAGCACCACTCAACCTTTGTCACATCACTTAGATTCTAATTCGGGAGAATCATTGCACCTAGATGATGACTCAGAAAGATGATGATTATTTTGTTGCTATGCTAAATGCCATTTCACTGGAACGACTGGCATAAGTTTTGATGAATTCACATATCAGATAATTTTTGAGCTCCTATTAATTTTTTTTATATGCTACATCCATAAATTATATCTGTTGATTTTCTAATAAATTAAATAATTAAATACTTACATACCCATTCTTACATTCTAATAAATTAAATAATTAATTTCTAATAAATTAAATAATTAAATTGAGAGCAATTTGTGATTATCTAAATAAATAAAGAATGTTCCTTCAAACTTATCCTGGGAGGATTGGCCTATTTTGGCAGGATCTCTACCAACTTTTACAGCTGACGGGAAAATATGCGACCAAAATTTTTGATTTTTACCCCTGTAATTTTGAAGGCTTTTTTTGTGTAATATATTACTTAAGAATTTATATATTAAAAATGTATTGAAAACAGATGTCATATTTTTATTTTGTTACTTAAGTTTTTCAGCGTTTGCAGCAAATGTTTTATTTGTTAAAAAATGTAACAAAGCATTAGTTCTTTTTCAAAAAATTTGTAAGTTTTATGTAAGTGTGTACAGTCAATAGATGACAATTAATTGCAATGGGAATTATCTTTTCAGACATTTTTAGCCACATATATTAATAAATAGTAATTTATAAGTTGTTAGTTATAATAAGTTGTAAGTGAAGAAATTATCTAATTTTAATAAAAAAAAATTTTGAAAGAAAAAATTTTCTGCAATTGAGAATGGTAATTTTCCTAATTTGTGTACTATTGGCAATGTAGAAAATTTAAATTAGTTAAAAAATTGGAGAAAAAAATGGTAAGAATGTATCATTGTATGTTAAATTGCAGATTATAAATTTTGTTACAAGTCAGCTGTTTTTTTCTGCAGAATTGTTTCTAAACAAATACTGTGTGCATTGCTTTTAGGTAACAAGTATTCAATCTGTTTCAAAAGAAAACTTCAAATTTCCCGATAGTTCACATGTAAAAAATTTTGATGTTCTTGAAGAAAGAGATACTTCAAATGTAAGTTCAGTCTTTCTTAAAGATGTTAAAACCATTTTTTAATGTTATAGATTTTGTATTTTCTGTTGTGAAGCATAAATATTATTTATTAAATCATTGCAAAAATTTCATTAAAGAATTAAGTTTGTAAAATAATGTTTTCAATATTTCATATGCATATTGAAATCTACATATATATATATATATATATATCAATTTTTGTTTTATATTTAAAATTTCATTATATGTTTCCTTCCCTAATTGTAAGCTTTTTTTTTTTTAATGTATGGATGTATTACTTGAGAATGTCTGTTAAAATAGATATTATTGTAATTTATTTTGCCACTGAATTAGCATTAATTGTGGCACTGTAATTAGATATCGTATTTTATTTTGCCATTTAAAAATCGTCTGTAAAGTTTATTGCAAATTTTATAGCTTAAATACTTGTTTAAATTACGGCATTACATATATATGTGCATTTAAGGGTCTTATTATAATATAAAAAATGAAATAATAATTATTTTTAATTTTTCATGGAACTATTTAATCATATGAAATTTTCAAAGGAAACTTAATAATACATATAAACTAACAAAGTAGATTTCATTAGGCCTTTTCTTTTTCTAGTTATTATCACTCTCCTTTCCCAAACTGTTTCATTGAAATGCAATTTAGTCTTAAAAATACATAATGTTTATATTGTATAATTTTAGATGGTTAGTAAATTTTGGAAATGATCAGATTTAAGATAATGTAGATTTGAAAATGCATTATTCTGTCAACAAATGCATATTCCAGAAATAAAAGTTACTCTTACTGAGACAAAACTTAGAGTTAAAATTCAGAATAATCTCTCAGGGCCTACTGTTGTTTCTCAGACAGGGTGATGCACTGGCCTGCTTGCTTTTTAACTTTACCTTCCAGAAAATCATGAATGGCTCCAACATTAATACTTGTGGAACTGTCTTTAACAAGTCTGTTCAGATTTTTGCGTTTGCTGATAATATTGACATAGTTGGACGCACTCCCGAGTCACTTAGAGGCTTTTACATCTCTAAAGCCTGCAGCCAGCAAAATGCATCTAGCAATCAACCAAAATAAAATTATGTACATGCCATGTGGTTATAACAGTAGCCCCTATTTTGAAATTGGGAAATAAATTTGGAATTACAAATTTGAAACTGTGAGCAAATTTAAATATTCGAGATCCTAAGTTAAATACTATAAAAAAGTTAAATCCTAAGTTAAATACTATAAAAAAAGTTAAATCCTAAGTTAAATACTCTCGATGATTTAATGCCTGAGATCCATAGTAGAATCCCAGATGCTAACCGATGTTTTTTCGGTCTCAAAAAGTACTTGAAGTCTAACTTCACTAGCAGAAAAACGAAGATTCTAATTTACAAAAGCTTAATCTTACCCATTCTTACATACTCTGGTGAGACCTGGAAAATGACAAAAAAAGCTAAAAGTGTCATTTCTGTCTTTGAAAGAAACATTTTGAGAAGTATTTTTGGTGGCATAAAATGTAACAATATCTGAAGAAGGAGGACTAACTCTGAACTCTATAAATCTTTTAAAGAACTAGATATAGTAAAATATATAAGGATTCAAAGAATTAAATAGGCAAGACACCTGTGCAGAATGGATGAAAATCGTATAACTAAAAAAATCTCGGCCAAACCATTTGGACCCGGAAAAGAGGGAGACCTAAACTTAGGTGGCTCGACGGTTTGGAAACAGACATAAGAATTTTAAAAATAACTAATTGGATGTCCATGGCCAAGGATAGAAGAGCTTGGAATTCGATTCTGAGGAAGGCAACCGCCCATCCTGGTCTGTCTGGCCATTGAAGAAGAAGAAGAAGTTAATGAAGAAAATTAAGTGCCTTTATTTCTGATTTTATTTATTTGTTGCTTTTTTCTAATTTATCAAAAAGTTACTTCTATTTTTTTTTTTTTTTTTTTTTTTTTTTTTTAGGCAACCTGATTGGTATGTTCCAGACATTCTTATGCTATTTTTGCTTTAGTTATCTTGCGTTCTTTTTATAGCACTGCTTTTAGAAACTGAAGCTTCATTTAAAAATGTTCAAAGACCATTATGCACAATAATTTGTCTTAATTTCTAACAGAATTAATACAGTAAAGCCTTGTTAAACAACAGGGAGTTCTGTCATTAACACATTGTGCATATGGCAAAATATGTTCCACTGCATTAACTTTGGGGTGTTTTACTTGATCTGGAATTGATGATTACTTCAAGAAGCCCAACAGACGTAAAGCAGATTATTGCTATGTCTGATGTGACTGTAAAGTAGAGAGAATGTTTAAATAACCTTTTTATTTAAGCAGACTTTCCTACACACTCTCTTCTCCTACAATACAGTATCAGCCACAGCTTGTGGTGATGTAACTAATCAGAACAGTGAAATTAAACATGGAACAATAGTCAAAACTACAGAATTTGATACTACTCAAGAATGGCTCAGCAATTCTACTGGATTGTCAAAACAAAAATATCGGCAGCAAAGTAACACAAAGCTGAATAATTACGACTATCAAAGATGGCAGGAACTAAACATAGCATGCATGTGCAGCCAGAAACACTATTTCAAACTCTAAAAAACCCCCAGTTTAAATACTAGCTTGTATACACTTACATTCTGGTGAGGAATCCATAAAGGAAAAGTTTAAAATACAGATTCAAATCATAATAATTGTTTAAAATAATAACCTTACAACTTTCTGTGGGGGGAAAAAGGGGCTTAAATGTAGTTCAGATTAAGAAAGTATGTATAATTTATAAGACCTAAATATCACTGTAATTAAAAGGGGGGAATGAAACAAATATTAACTGAAAGGATAAGTAGGTACATAATACAGTACAAAGTTTTTAATCTGGACTCATCGGGACTTCGGCGATTCCGGATTAGGGATTTTCCGGATTATAGATCATCAATTTAAATCTGGTAAGATGGCATGCAGAAATTATAAAATTAAAAATATGAAATTGTAATTTATGAAATAAAGAGCAATTATGATCTAAAGGATATCAAAATTTACAAAGAAAAAGTTTAATATTTATTTGTTTACTTTATTAAACATTTCTTTCAATGTAAGTTGTTTAAGTTGCTTCATTTTTTGTGCTAATACTTTCTCTTTAATTCTATAAGGAGACATAATTTCTTGTTCAGTTCCACTGTTCAAGTCCTGTAATTGCTGTGTCGAGAATACCGACTAACTTGTCAATCGAAATGTTTTCGTTTTCAATAACCTCTCTGTCACTTTCTTCACTATCGGAAGTGGTACATCGAAACATGCTTTCACTTTGTAGATCCTTTGGCAGCTCCAGAATCGGAAACTCTTTTTGACATAATCGAAAGTTCAAGTTTACTTTTTATAAAATTGCTCTAACAGTCTGCAAAAAAGGAGGAATGAAACCTTTCCATTTGAAAGCAATGTTGTGAGGGCTTCAGTACTATGTCCTGGAGCATTAATGAGAATTAGGAGAACTTTAAAGCTCAAGTTTTGCTGTTCTAAGTAATGTTTAAATTCTCCAATTAATGAATTTTCAAACCAATGGACTTTGAATGATTTCATTATTCAAAGTCCATTGGTTTGAAAGTTTCTCACTTTCTAAGTTACTGTTGGAAGTGAAGAATCTTAAGAAATGATAAGCGAATAATCGCTTGAGTTCGTGTGACAGGAAACAACAAGGAACAACGCGATCTGCAAGATTAACTGAAATAGATAATTAGATAATTTTAGCCTAGCTTATACCGTCTATTATACATTAAACGCACATGTGTAAACGTAATATGACATACATAAATGCATATGCGCATGCGTAAACGCATTATGCCTTTACGCATGCGCAGAAGGTTTGTAGCTTTGAGGTCTGGATTATAGATCATTTCGGATTATGGATGTCCGGATTAAAGACTTTGTACTGTAGTATTATTTTTTTAAATAGTGGTGATTTTTGCTTGGGTATGTGTCTGAAGCAAATCACTAAGCATTTCATGGTAAGGAGTGCAGAGTTTTTCCGTGCCTCTCATAAAGTGTTCTCTTTTTCTTGATTTGGAATAATCTTCATTACAAAATTAGAGAGTTTCTTTGCTGTTTCAACTATTTGTTTAACTTCTTGTACATTAAAGTCTCTTTGTTGTCATCACTATTGCTGATTTCACAATAGGCTGGTGTTATAGGATCATCCAGTTCTTCATTTATTATTTTATGATCAACATTCTTGACTTATTTTTCAATTTTTCCTTTTTTCTGTGTCTGAAAATCCTTCACCACCTATTGCTTTTGCAATTTATGCAATTTTCTTGGCTTCATTTTCAATCGATGGAAATCTTTTAAAACTATTGACAACTTCTGGCCAGTGCTGATGCTAAAAAGCATTCATTGTTGATCAGCTTACTTGTTCCCAAGCAAGTTTAATCACTTCTGTGCAGTGTCTTATGCTGAACTGCTTCCAATGCACCATTAGTATGCCATGTTTTCCTTCATGTAGTGCTTTATTTGTAGAGATGTAAACATGACTGACATAATGGACTTTAAATGATTTCATTATTCCTAGATTCATTGGTTGTTTCAAGAAAATGGTGTTCGGTGGGAGGAATGAAACCTTTCCATTTGAAAGCAATGTTGTGAGGGCTTCAGTACTATGTCCTGGAGCATTAATGAGAATTAGGAGAACTTTAAAGCTCAAGTTTTGCTGTTCTAAGTAATGTTTAAATTCTCCAATTAATGAATTTTCAAACCAATGGACTTTGAATGATTTCATTATTCAAAGTCCATTGGTTTGAAAGTTTCTCACTTTCTAAGTTACTGTTGGAAGTGAAGAATCTTAAGAAATGATAAGCGAATAATCGCTTGAGTTCATGTGACAGGAAACAACAAGATAGAAGGGTAAACTAACCCTTTATTAACTAACAAAGTTTAACAAAAAGTTTTTAAGTTTAACAAAACTCTGTCTTGGAGTGTACAAGAAAGCCGACACTTAGAGACTAAGAATAATACTAATCTTAACTAAAGAGACATATAGAAGCTATCAAGATTCTAACAGAGTTGGTCCCTTAACGTTAATAGACTGTGAAGCTATCAAGGGCCTAAAGTACGGCTGAGCATAATAATAGGCTACGAGAGGGTAGCCTAAAAAGGCAGACGTGTACAGCCAGAATACCTGGTATCTCTTTCCCTAAGACTGAAGAACTTTGCAGTTAAATACCGCTTTTCCTCATTATGTATTCAAACGTGATTCTGAAACTGCGTTCTGGCTGGAAGTGGTAAGTACAAGTTAAAAAATGATAGGAAAGAAACTTTAACTCAAAATTTAACTGTTAATAAAATTAACATAATCCTTACACAGTACTATTACGTAATCCTTACACTGGACTATTACAGTGCGGCTGGCGCTCTGCAGCATACCGTGCATGATTGAAATTTCTCATATTGGAACAAATTAAATGGAGACAATTAACACTTATATATAAAATCATATTCCTCTAGTCTCTGTTTGACAAGGGTTTTACTGTAAAAAAGTTACAAAAAATAAATCAATAATATGAAACTCCTATTATTTATACCTATGTTATATTTCAAGAGGGAGATCTGGAACTGGTATTGAGTCCCAAATCTCTAACAGATGTAAAACGAATTGTCACTATGTCTGAAAGAAACTGTAAAATCTTGGAAAGGTTTAAGCAACATTTTTGTTTAAACAGAATTCAGAATGTAAATGAACGTGTCAACTAATCAACTACAGTTTGTGTTGGTATAATGGAAGGAATGGTCAAATTCAAATTAAAATGTGAAATAGTAGGAAAAGACTACATAATTTAAATAATGTCTATGCTTCTTGGTGATTCTAACCAGAGTGTGAAAATCAAATTATTGGCAGCGACTAATGTAAAACTGAAAATTACTATTGTCAAAGTCAGCAGGAACCAAACGTAGTGTGCATGTGCAGACCAGAAACAGGCTGGGTCTTAAAAATCCAAAAACCTCAATTTAAATACTAGCTAACTCATTTACATTCTGGTGAGGAAACAGAAAGGAGAAGTTATTATAAAGGTTGGAATTTTACTCAGCATTACATCTGCTTTCCACCCAAGAAAAGAACAAAATAAGTGCAGCTTGTGCTCCCAACTGCAAGTCTATGTAAAAAAAGAAAATACGTTAAAGTTCAGGACAGAATGAATCAGTTCAACTTGACGAAAATGAAACTGTTTAAAAATTATAGTAGGAAGACTAATTTTCGTGTGTGTCTTGAATATTGTGTACTGTCTGTTTCTGTTTACAATACTTAAGTTTACATTTATTTGAAGAATCTTTTTTTTTCGTTTATTAAAAATTGAAATGTGCCTTAAATATTTGTTTTGCTGTTTGAAGATATTTTGAACTTCTATGCCAATGTTTTATGTGAAGTATTGCAGATCTAATTTTGATTTTAATGTTTTTGAAAATATTTTCTGAGCAATGGTAATTTTCTTAGTTTATCATTAGTTGCATAAAAATTTTATATTTTATTAGTTTAGCTGAGCAGTCCAATTATTGTACCATTTTATATAAAATTGTAGCTTTTACAAATCAGTTATTTTTTCTACGAAATCCTCTCTAAACAAATACTTGTTATATTTTTAGGTGACTAGTCTTCAGTCTACTTCAAACAAAATCACAGAATTTTCAGACAATACACTTACAAAAAATTCTGAAGTCATTCAAGAAGAAAACTTCACAAGTGTAAGCTAGATTTTTTTAAAAGAAATTAATGTACTTTTTATAGTTGTAATTTTTTTTTATTTTATCTTGCAAAATTTTGTTTTTGTTAAATTATTATAAAAAGTCTTCCAAAAATGAATTTGTAAAATAATATTTTCATTATTTTATACATGTATTATTATACAAATTTTTGTTTTTCATGTTTTAAATTTTGTTACATATATTGACACCTAATTGTAAAGGCATTTTTGTTACATGAGTAAAGTACTTAAAACTGTATGCATTAAAAATGAACTGATATGTATTGGAAATTAGATATTATTTTTATCATTCGAAAGTTATCAATATATGGAGGTTATTTCATCTGTTGTAAATTTTATACATATATTTATTTTGAAGGATCCTGTTATATCACCAAAGGCAAAAGTATCAGATCCTGATAGCTTGAGCCCAGAAAGATTAGAAAAGTACAAGTCTCTGTATAAAAGGGCTAGACAACATGCTGCTGATGGAAAACTAAGAGAAGCTCTAAGCTTTTTAAATGAAGCTAAATCTATTTGTGAAAGTGATAAACTGCTTAAGCGAATTAAAGATATTGAGGTTAGCTGTATTTTTACACGGTTTTTCAATTGTTGATATAATAATCTTTTGCTTAGATAATATATTTGATTTCTAAATTAAAAATGAATAAAATGTTTAATATAAATTTAAATAGGAAAAATAAATTAAACAATAGTTATGTAGCATTAAGTTGAAGAAAATATATGCTATCTTGGAATTCATAAAACTAATCATAAGACCATTTTTCTTCAATGGGCGTTTTCATACAGTCATTTCTTTGGGAATGGGACAGCTGACTTTTCAGCAAAGAGAGAGATGATAATTGTGCAGTCACCTTTAAATGTAATTCTATTTTCAACTGCTGGGAGATTTATAAAAAAATAGAACAAATATAAAACTAGATCACACTTCCTTGTTAAAGGGTTCACCTCATTCTGTCACCAAAGTCAGATTAATCATTGGCAAATTTAATCCCAGAATTTTTAACCTGAAACATATATGATTTTCAGACTATTTTGATTGTCATGTTTTCTGCTTGATATCATAAACTCAGTATTCTCCCCCTCTTAAAATGGTTACCATTTTTAAACTTAGATTCAGATGCATTATTTTTCTATGATACATATTTATAATATAGCATTTGATTTTCACGCTTTCTTTAGGACACATAATATTATTCTTTCATTAATTATTTTTTGTCTTAAATGTTGACTATTTTTACCTTTCCATTAATTTTAAAACAGTAGTTTCTTTGTGTCATCGTTCATTGTTTCATCTCTTCTAAAGAGGTTATCACACTTGGTTACAGTCTCTGCTAGACTGGACTTTTCTAAGAAACGAGATTTTGGTAGTACTGGTTTAATGAGAGGAAAAAGAGACCCGCCTGAAGGGAAGTCCCGCCTAGCTACGGAAATGATGTTACGGCTGTGCAGGATTTTTTTGTAAACCTCACTGAAAATGTCTAAGCTGGACCTCTGTCCCGGGTAGAAACAACCAATCAGAAGAAAGTTCTGCTTCTGAAGCATCACGTGATCCCGATTTGAGTGATAGTTGATTACTGCTTTGCGTTCAAGTGTTTGTAGTAAGGAGAATGGCAATCTAGCTAACTAGGTCAGGTGGGTTTCCTGAAATTGTGCAGGTTCTGATAATTGTCCCTTTCGACGTCAAGTCCCGCGTAGCCGAAGCATAATGTGGTTGAGTTTAAAATGTTATTTTTAACTACGCAGGAATTAAAAAAAAAAGCAATGGTTTTCTTTCTTCTTTCTTTCTTTTTTTCTTTTTCTTTTCAAGAACCTGAAATTTTGCATATATAGAAAGAGTTCAAAAATAGCATTAAATTAAATTATTTATTGAGAATTACAGTACGCAGATATACAATGAGAAACACTGCAGGATAACAATGGTCTGTGTACTAATAATTGGTTTCATAATTTTAGAATACCTTTTTTTTACCATTTTATGCTTCATTGGGCTAAAGAACTAATTTCCATCAAATGGCTCAATAGACTGTTAACTATGGGTGAAAATGCAGCAGTTGATTGGAATAACTGTTTGAGAGAAGTTTATTGCTAGTTTTTGATCAAATGTTTGAAAGATAAAATTGGTGCACCTGAAAAAATTGTCAAGGTTGACAAAAATTGATTTGTCAAGCAAAAGAAGAATATTGTTGAAGCAAATGGTTTTGGGAAGAGCCTGCGGGGAAATGAATGAATGTTTCCTTGTGCAAATACCAGGCAGAGGCATCAAAACTCTAATGGAGATGTCAAAACAACATGCACATGAAGTAAATATTCTATATTCAAATTGCTAGCTTGCTTGTCAGGGAAAGGAATTGGTAAAGGCTCGTTTTCAATATTTTACAATTAATCATAAATATAACTTTGTAGATCCAGTATCTGGTGCAAATGCACAAAAAACTGAAGGATTTTTGAAGAGGAAAATAGCTTGCCAAATTGATTAATATTTAGGAGAATTATTGTGGTGACAATATGTATGACAAGAAAAGCTATTTGATTCTTTCACAACAGGAATTTTTAAGTTATGACTTCAATAAATAAATATCCTCTTCCCACACATTGTGGATTTTAATTTTTCGAAGGATGTCACTGTGCTTTCTAATTTTTGCCAAATTAATTTTAAACATCAGCAAATTTCACAAATGTGGCACCACTTTAACAAGGGACTACCTACTAAACAAATCAAAGAAAAGAATGGGGGACACTCAATAAAATTTCTTCTTTTCCAAGACATGCATTCACAGCTTTCCATTTTAAGCTGGAACATGACTAAGTTACTTCTGTGAATTTGGATTCCATTCATCTCTTGCATGCAACACTTCTGATCGAATACTAGGCCCTCGAGCAGCCATGTGGCAAATTTGTTAGTTTGACTCGGGTTCTAATCTTGGCTTGTCAGCTGACTGAGTTTTGTATCGTTTTTTCCCTTCATGTAAAACATAATTACAAGCTGACTTTCTTAAAAATAATCCTCTACAAGGGCATTGCTGCACTTAGGCAGGTAGTCTTTGTATGCTTTGCCATAATCCAAACCAGTTGTATCCTGATAGATGCTAGTTTGCTTATAATTCAAGACTTAATGACTGAGTGGTCATTTTCTACCTGCTTTAAAGGTATGTATTAACTCTTAGTTATGGATAGAGTCTGTGGAATCCATGTCATTCTGTAATTATCATGCCTACAAAAATTACTATTGAATGCTCTCACTTTCATTGCCGTCCTTGTTCAAGGAATACTAACATGTATCACAATAGCTTATGTCTGTCATTTACGCAGTTCAATACATGAAACTTCTAGAATATCTTAGATTTGATTTCTTATTTTTCAATGCTATTAATTCATTCCATTCTTTAAAAATTTTCATAGATTTTATATTTTATAATGTATTACTTTTTTTGTAACTTTTTTATTGGATTATAAAAATGAATTTATGAAAATGATGGTGTTCATGAAATTAAAATAGATGTTAAAAAAAGCAAGGTAACAAATTGAGTGGAGGGAAATACACCCCCTGTTCCCCTAGAGAATGTCATATAGCAGTTATAGCGTCAAACGCTAAACGTCAGTTATAGCATAATTTGACTTTTATTAAGAATTAACCTTTTGGAAGAATGTTTACTTTTTTTTAAAAAAGTTTTATTTGTATAGCAAAGTTATTTCTCTACAACTATTTACTTTAAAACTATTAGTTTTTTTTTTTTTTATTTTTATTATATATATTATATATATATATATATAAATATTTCATTGGTCTCAGTCTGTCATTGAAAGGGACATAATAATTTGAAATTTCCTCTTGTTCATTATTGTGCAGATTGTGTGTTTCTTTCACAGCTGAGTCAACATTCATACTGAAGAACTTAAGTAAGATTTTAAGTTTGTATCATGTAGCCCAATAATTGAAAGGGAAGTAAAATTTGCTTTCCTTTTTTGGGGTGGGGTGCACATTGTCTGTTTGGAAATCAGGGCTGTGGAATCAGTAGGGAAACTGACCAACTCCGTCATATAATATACATATACAGGGTGTTTTTTTTTTAACTGACGGTACTCAGAGACTTCTGTAACTTGAATTATCAGCTGCAAAGTTATGAAATTTTGTACAGGGACTATTGACGACATGGGAAAAAGGAATCCACAGAAAAAAATTAGTTTCAAAAGTTGCCGATAGGGGAAAATGTGACGCTTTACACTAAGATAGCTAAAATTTTGCATAAAACCCGCGAAAAAATTGCAAAATGCTGATTATGTAGTTGACACCCGTGCCAGTATTTTGAGTTCCATTTAGCTGTAGAGAATAAGGTGAACAGAATGCAATGCTTAGTCCAAGAAAATGGAGGTCATATTCAAAATGGCCGATGTCTTCTCCGGTAAAGCGATTCTAGTGAATAAAAACAAAAGAACAAAGAATAAAAAGGAAGTCGAATAGAATGGTCTCTTTTTTTTTTTTTGTATAATTTGTAACCATTTACAGAAGTTATTTTTTAGAATAAAGCACATTTGTAGAAAAATTAATTCTTTGTTATTCATTTATCTGTTTACTGTAACTTTTTAAACTGGTCAGAAATTTTGTTGTGCAGTTAAGCTTAAAATTTAGATCAAAAGCATCATATTGCCCCCTCTCCCCCATCGGCAACATTTGCAACTAAATTTTATTTTCACAGATTCCTTTTCCCCATGTCGCCAATAGTCCCTGTACAAAATTTCGGGGCTTTGCGGCTGATAATTCAAGTTACAGAGGTCTTCGAGTTCCGTCAGTTTAAAAAAAAAAAAACAACAAACAACACCCTGTATATATGTAAATGTATACACTAGGTTACAGCTTATTTTTTTTTTTAATGTAAAAGAAGTAATATATGCTACAGAAAAAAATTGATGGCATAGCAAATTATTTATATTAATTAGCATTTATTATGAAATAGCATTTATTATGAAATGGCATCAGTTATTTCTAAGAAACAGTATAGCTTCGGCAAGATCTTCTTTATTGGAGGGCCATAGATCCGATTTGTTAAACTTCAGAGCTGAGGAGAGTCTTTCCACCCTAACTTGAGTAGGAGGAAGAGCTGTTACTGTTAGGGCTACTTCTTTTAACTTTTCAGGGTAAATTTTTATAAGTTCTAAAAGAGGTGTGTTGCAAGTGCAATCATATTTCCCTGTTTCTTCAAAGGCTGTGTAGAAATCTTGTTTGTATTTTTCATTTTTATATCTAAAGGCTCATGGTTCTTTATTTTCATTAACTTTGCCTTAGACTTTTCAATATTATCAAAAAATATTTGTTTGAATGTCTGATTCGAATTCTCCAATTGTTCTGAGAATAATTTCATTCTTCATGAAAGTTCATAGATGGCTTTCTTTGCCTTTTTAATTTGTTCGTCATCCAAGAAAATTCAGTGTTTCGGATCTACATATATTGAACAGCAAGATCTCATTGTCTAGCAAACTAGTTTCCCTTTTCTTCACTGAAGGAATAATTCCTTCTGCAATAAACCCTCCATTTCAAAAAGAAACAACATCACATTCTTCCATTCTCATCTCCTGTCAATTCTTCAGATTGCAGCTTTTTTGTAGAAAGAGTTTTCAATTCTGCAAGATCATTCTACAGTCATTCTGCGAGTGAAACATTAGGGTTATCTACATCTTCTAAACGTTCTTAATTCTAACAACCTCTTTATCATTAAATATGTACTTCCTTATCGTTTTGCTTGATCAATAATTTTTCCTTTTCCTGCTCGCTTCCTAAGAATGGTATCAATTTTGGGAGTTCTTGCTGCTATTGCTGCTTACCTAAATTTACCAGTGAAATTTGTAATTAAATGAATCAGTTTAATCACTAATGGCAAATATCATATCCATCCTCCTCTCTTATATTTATTTATTAATATGTCAATAAAATAGAAAATAACTATTTTATTAATGTATATAGTCCATAAATAAAAATAATAACTGAGTTTGTCATTAATTTTTTCAATTCAATTTTTATTTCATTTCAAATTCAAACTGTCCAACAAAAACTGGAGTCGGAGTCGACCTGTTTTTAAAGATTCCAGCTCCGACTCTTTTTACCCCAAAATCTGCCCGACTCCACAAGCCCTGTTGGAAATTAGTATCCTTGTATTCATGCGATGTGGATTCATTTTTATGTCAAGACTTTTGTATAAAGTCTGAACACTCTGTTTAAAGACACAATATGTGTAATTTTTCTTATTTTATGCAATATATGAATGTTTGATACTTGTGTATTAGTACAACCACTTTGTCATAGTTTGGCAGTTTTTTACAGAAAATGAATGGTGATTTATAATTGAAAAACATTATTTATTGTAAAAATACATATTACTTCACACTTATTCTATGTTTTAACCCCTTAAGGCACACATTAATTTCTAATTTTCGGTCAAAAAATCACCTATTTTTTTTCTTGCATAATCATATTCTCTAGTGCATTTTAAGAAACAACAGCCAGGGTTAGCTTCAAATCGAAATCTCGGTGGGGCAACGTTTGGTTGATTTATACTAATTTGATACCAATTCCTTGCTATATCCAAAATCTCGTTGTCATTATCTTCCGATTCACTTCCATCACTCAAGAAATCATCACTCTCATCGCTGAAACTGTCTGATAAATTGGCATATTCAAAATTGTCATCGTCAGAGTCGCTCATTATCAGATAACTTTTTTTACAATTACAAAAACACTTAGTAAAATATAATTTTGCAGTTAACTGCTTACTTTTATGATATATTTACGTAATAAAAATGGATATATTACCTTTTCCACACCAAACGACTACTTTATAGCAAAGAATTCCTAGCAAACTTATAGCTAATCATCAAAATGCGCCACGTGGTTTACACAAGAAAAATGCTGAATAGTGGTGCCATCTATGTCAAATAAGTTTAATTATAATCTAGCCTATTTATTTTTACTGGAACGGATCTCAGACAAGCATTAGAAATAAAATAACGTGAGATACGAGGGCGCCCGTGTGAGACACGGGCATGTGCAAATTTGCCGGAAACTTTCGCCCGTGTGAGACACGGGCAAATGCGTTAAGGGGTTAACTGAGTATTTAGCCTGAAAAACCAATCAGTATTCTTATTTCTTTTGTACTGGTGAAAATTCCATGTTAATTTTAAGAATAGTTTTAAAACAGTTATTCCGTAGGAATTTTGCTGAAAAATACTATATTCCTGTATAAATTATATTGAAGATTTTTATATAGCAGGCAAATCTCATTAGTGCGTATTTTAAAATCGAGTTGATTGAATAACAAAATATATGATTTGACAACTTGAAAGCAGTGCAAAGCCTGAAAACCTGGATGTCTAATTCATCCAATGACGTTTGGAGCAACCACCAGCACATTACAGAATCTAGAAGGGGAGAATATAATACTTAACAAAAAATAATATGCAATAAATATAATTTTTCTCGGAATTAACTAAGGTTCTTGCGTGTCACTTTCAAATACCTGCTGGCTAGGAAATTGTACAATGGCAATGGCAGTGCATTTTGGCGCTTGAGTATTTGTGGGAGTTTCACACTTTTCTATCTGACGTAAGTAATAAGTAAAGCCTCAATGCTGCCATATCTACATGTCACCTTATTGGATTTAAACTCGTAGTCTAAAATCTGGAATTGCTGAAGTCCTGAATTCCAAATCTCGGACTTTGTACTGTACAACGAAGGGAATGCATATAAAATGGTATCATTACTTGCCATCCTGAAAATTTGACAACTTTTACTAAGGTTATTTATCCTAATCTGAAACCGAATGTTTAGTGCAATCGGCAAAATTTAAATTTTCAATTTATTAATTTTATTTTTCTGTTACCATCTTTATTTGCAGCAAATAATTAAAAATTCAGATGACAATGAAAAAGGTGATCAGATGGTTCTAGTATCAGATGGATTTTACATTTTTCATGAAATATATGAGAAGTTATACCCTTATCAAAGAGAAGGTGTTGCATGGATGTGGAGTTTATTTAAGAAACGTAAAGGAGGAGTCCTTGGCGATGATATGGGGTAAGTTTGTGTAATGTTAAAAAAAAAAAATCACAAACAGCTGTTTTCTCTGGTCGATGAAAATAAGCTCATTTTAAAAATGTTTTGTAAATCAGAATAATACAAAGCTAAGAATTGCCATTAATTTATATAGAGAAAATTTTGAATATTCTCAGAACTCTCTTTTTTTTTGAAGGGAAATATTGAGCAAGTTATTTAACGTTGAGAAATTTTTCATATTTTCAAAATTCTTCATAAATTTTATTGTATGAAATTATCTTCTGTCTTATTATTTAATTACCATATTTGCTGGCGTATAAGATGAACCTTTTTTCCTTGGAAAGTAGGTCTCAAAATGGGGTGTGTCTTATGCATCAATGCTCAATTTTTTATTACATTCATTTCTGGAAATTTCCTCTATTCGGAGTTATGTGATTTTTTTCTTGTTTCCTTACGGAGTGTGGGAATATTTCAGTTGCGTAGAGTTTAGTAAATGCACATGTGCTGTCATCAATGATCGCAGCTGGGTTCGTTTAAACTTTCCAAATTTTGTGAATGACTTTTAAGTGTGTGAAATTTCTACTGTTGGATTTTCTTAAATTTGTTGGCAAGTTATGGCTCAAAAACAACATCAGCATTGCTATAATATAGCATGCAAGCTGGATGCAGTCTTCAAATTTTGAGGTCACACCATCGGGAAGAAGGAAGAGATCAAGCATTTCGCAAGTATGTGAATGGGTCAAAGCTTCACGGATAGTGTGAAACCAGAAACAGTGGTTAAATAATTTAAGAGGTGTGGAATTAGTAATGCACTAGATGGTGCAGTGGACAGTTTGTTGTATGAGGACCCAGATGCTGATTTAAAAGAGGTTTCAGATGACTCTTCATGAGTGTTTTGGTTTTGACGAAGAAAATTAAAAGTTGTTCTTTCCCAGATAGAGTGGGTATTTGCAGAAAGTATTACTTTGTATTTATATTTAAAACACTATAAATTCATTTTAATGATCAGTAATAAAGTTTTATTTTTCAAAAATTTTTATAAAAAAGGGGGTGCGTCTTCTACGCCGGCAAATACGATACCCATTTTTGTGTTTACTTATTTGATAATTGAGAATATAGTAATCTTAATAAGTGTAAAAAAAATTAGGTATTTTCTGATTTCCTTATCCCGTCTTCAAAAAGTTGCAGAAAAGTATTCAGGAGAAAAAGCATGTTGTAGAAGTTTTATGGGACTGAGTTTATGCAATTCTTTTTTTTTTTTTTTCTTTTTTTTTAAAGAAAAAATGTCACTGTGCACATGTTGAAAACAACAGGGGGAAAAAAAAAAAAAAAAAAAAAAAAAAAAAAGGAATTCTTGAAAAAGGTTAACTGTTTCATTATCGATATTTTTTACTTTTTAAACTTTATTCATTGATTACTGTTGAATGAAATTTTAGGCTGCCACCAGTTTGAAACTGATTGACAGCTTTTGTGCATTAGCATGGTGAAAAATTAGTCGCCAGTGAGTTTGTGAATGCTTTCCAAAGGTGACACTGAGTTTTAAATTTTCAGTGGGAAATGCAGATAATCAGAAAGTACCAAAAATTATTTGTGCTTAATTTGACGCTCCCTCTTAAAATGAGTCCCTCTCTCATAAATTTTATAAATACTTTTTGATATCATTAAGGCAAACCCCATGTTGTTTAGGATGAAAAGGAAGTCTTGTTTTAATATAAATTCATAATATAAATAAGTGGTAAAAAATAATAAAATAAGTTGTTCAAATTTATTTTTTCAAACTTATCATCACTTTTTCAGATCACTTAAGATGGTTAGTTCATTATCTTAATGCTACAAAATGCAAGAAATTATTCAAGCTCACTTATGTGTCATTACTTAGTATTGCTTATTGGAAGGGAGTATATAATGAAATTATGTGATGGGATACTGAAATTCAAGGGTATAATCCCCTTGTACTAATAAGCAGTTTTCTCCAGTAACACTGCATGGTTGGTACCTTTAGTACAAGATTGATGTTTTATGGTTAGCAGTGCATGAAAAGTGGCATTTTTGAGCTCTGTGTTTCTTTTCATGAAAGTCCAACATAAAAATATAAACAAGAACTTTGAAACAGGTTTAGGGCACCTAGGCAATTCAAAAGCTTTTAATTGGCATTGCTATCTCTAGTAATTTCAGTGAAGATCTGCTTGCAGCATTTATATGAGTTAACAGGCAGTCCAGTAACAGCCACTAGTGCAAGGATAATTTCGTCATCAAGAATATTTTTACCTTGAATCTCAGTTTTAGACTTTTAAATCTTGGATAGTTTTATATGAAAACATCTTTGCCTCTATGCAGCTCCAGGAATTCCTACCTTGCATTGGGTGACTTTTACTTGCTCCCTAAGCTGCTAGTACATCAATTTAATCAGTGATGCTTTTCCAACAAGGAAGAATTAAAAAATACAGCATTAGTTAAACAGTATGCCAATTTAAAGAAATTACAGATATACTTCAAAGACATTGCTCTTGCCAGCAAAACTGTATTGTTATGAATTTTTTACGTATATAAATAATTTTAGTATGAAATCGTATTTTTCTGTCTGCTCTAACATGAAAATCTAAAGAAATGGAGCTTTGCCAGAAAAGTAAATATACAGGAGCAAGTCTGTTTAACATTGAGTAAATGACTAGCTCGCTAATTGGCGAAAAATCGCCGAACTTGGCAACCATTTGGAGATGATTTGGTTCGGTTTCTGTGTATGAGTATTGTGTGAATGAGTATTTTAGGTGAATAAATGTAATTGATTACTGTATGCAAATGTAACCGTATTTGGCCTATAGATGTAACTTTAACCATATATGCCTACCAGTAATTTCGAGAAATGGAATTTACTAGAGATTTCTTGGCGGCCGAGCGAAAACTATATAAGCCTGGAGAGAGCATCTGGTATGAGAACAGCATTAACACAAAGGTGGCCCAAATAGGAACACAAAGCATCAGATGGTTCTTTATCATTTATAATGTTTTATATGTATACATACCCGTGTCCTATTATAAGATGGGCGAACCTTCAATCATACTGCCTAATGAACCTTTTGTTCCTACATTACTTGCATTCTGCTGCAAAGCAGTGCCTCATACATTCTCTGTTTTCAACATATGCTCTTAGTTATTACTTCAGAACTGAATTCCGAGTATTGAGATATTCATGAGAGCTTCATTTTTTAGATGTGCTTTGCATTCCACTGTGTTTAATGCTCTGAATAGTTTGAAGTGTAACTACTTATTGTGCTCTGATACTGGGAAGAGTTGTATGAATATTTTTGTGAAAAGCTCCACAACTGTTAAGTATTCCTTTTTGTAAAATAAATTTCATCAAACTATCATCAGTCTGTGTGCATTATGAACTTTTATGAACCCGTACGCATGCAACAGTATTACAGAGGCTGTTCACTTATTTTTTAGACAATTTTCATCGTAATTACAGAAATATTTCACCTAAAATTTTTTTATTTGAAATGTTTTATTTGATAACCCTTATTTTTCACTATCTTTATACACTAGAATTTCAATACACATACAAAGTCCAAAATCCGGACATCCATTATCCAGTATGATCTAAAATCCGGACCTCAAAACCACCAACAAAATTGTTCTTGTAGGCTTTATGCATGCACATTTGATTCCCCCCCCCCTCCGCTCATAATAAAACATCTGGCGAGTCCCGATTCTTAATTTCACTTCGAAGCTAAATAAAATACCTTGTTATTGAAAAAAAACAACCATTTTAGCATAAATTTGTACGATCACTAAATTTGGCTTCATTGCTGCGTATTTGCTTGGCACACATCTCAAACCGAAACATTCCATAAATACGTCATTGATCTGACACCAACCTGGCAAATCATTATTTATTATACTTTCCTTTCATTACCACGTTTATCAAAACATGACAACTTGAGTAATGACTCGTGTAGTGATACCTAAACATTTTTTTATGTTAGTATTTGAATAATAAAGGAGTGTGGTAACCTTTTATGTTGACATTACATTTGGCGATGATTACAGATTTCTGTTGCGCTAAAAAATGTTGACTAGAAAAAATTTACAAAAATTTTCTTTCCATATGCTAAAAATAGATTTTGTTGATGATACTCATAGACCCAAAGATTACATTTAGATCATAAATAGTTCATTATTTCATAAATCACAATTTAATATTTTTAATTTTATAATTTCTACATGCCATCTTACTAGATTTAAACTGATGATCTATTATTCGGAAAAATCCCAAATCCGGAATTGCCGAAGTCCCTATGTGTCCAGATTTCAGACTTTGTACTGTAGATAACGAGTCTTTTGCAGTAGTGGGAAGAGGTATTTTATCCCATTGCTCTTGAACAGCTTTCCGAAGTCTAAAGCGGTTGGAGATAAATGTTTGGACCGCTTTTTAAAAGTCCAAAAGTGCAAAAATACATGGTGATAGATCAAAAGATTTAGTAGGGATATGAGTGAAGGGTATGTCCTTGATACCTATTTTTTCCAGGAAATTAACAGTAGATTTTGACATGTCGCTGCTTGCTTTGTCTTGATGCAGTTCTGCTAATTGATCACACTGTATGTAAATAGAATGTATTTCATATTTGAAAATTGGGCATAAAATATATTTTTGATAATATATGGAGTTGATCTTAACAGTTTTCTCTGCTTTGTTTATTTTTAATTTGCTATTATATAAAAAACCAGCAACAGTCATGAATCCTTGAGAAAAACCTTCCTTTAGATTTCATGAACCATGCTTTAAGATTTTTTTCTTCTCTTTGCTGGTAATAAATGGATCTCTTTTTATTGCAATCATTAAAGTACACCGTAGACTTGTCTATTGTAGCAATATTTTTCCATTTTTATGAGGATAAATGTTTTTCATAAAGAATTCTGCAGCATGTTCAGCGGTATATCATGGAGAAAGATGATGCACATTATGTTTTTTCGCCTTTTTAAGATTCAAATTGCCATTAATCGCTTTGTTTACATTTTACAAAATGCTTTACTGAGCATTTTAATGATTTTGCAACTGTTCCTTTGGTTTGGTGGATTTTCTTTTAACATCTTACTTTTGCAACATTAGAAACATTCTGTTTTTTTTTTTTTTTTTCCTTGGATACGTATTTGGAACAATTTTTCCACTTGATGCTAAATTTTGATGCTTTTTTCCTTTGTTGTTGATTACGTTACCTATCGTAGCTTAAGGTATAGAAAAAAGCGGCTTTCACAACATTTTTTAACAACTGGATACGAATAATTTTCTTCGGAAAGAACACAAGCATAGCTTTCCATCCACCGCTTCTACGGAACTCACATTTTGCATGAAAACAAAACTGTCAAGTGGCAGACGATAATTTATACTTTCAAAAATAGAGTTGGAGTTTAAAAAAATTCCAAGCAGATTACTTTTTTTTTAACAGCAAAACAAAATTGTCTAAAAACTGTGCGAACAGCTTTTGTATTTGGAAGGGTCACATACTTTGAACGTATGGGTGTGTTTCTAACTTTAAGAAATTAAGATGGTTCCAATTTCTGAACTGTTCATTTCAGTGCTAGCAAAAAGAAACTTTGCTAATAAGGAAGGGAGAGTGCATTTGCAAAAGAACTGTTATATGAGCAGAATGCAGCTTCACATGTAAATATTTTCATTTTTATTGTGAACACTAAACATTGTTACTAGTCTGTACCTGTATTTCTTTGCTGAGTGCTTAGGATCTTGTCAGTATACCATTTTTAGTCTTGTTAACTAATTAATGCTAATTAATTTTAACAGACTAATTAATATAAAAATGAATAATGATAGCTTCATTTTTATAAAATTAATTAATAAAAGATCTTGTAAATTTTTCTATGTAAAATATTTAATTATATATGGTTATTATATGTTTTTAAAGTAAAAATGTTTCTGAGCATATTAAATATTAACTATTCATTTTTATTTTCATTCAATTCGTTGTGTGTTTTTAATGGATCTTCTGATGTAGAATGTATTTAGGCCAAGGAAAATATATTCTTTAGATTTAACTTGGTGAACATATAAGATTTGTTTCTTCCATGAGTGATAATATTATAATATTCTAAATATCAGTTAACTGAATGCTTTTTTCACTTTAGATTAGGAAAGACATTTCAAGTTATTGCTTTTCTTTCGGGATTGATCGATGCTGACCTGGTAAAGCATATCCTTGTAATTATGCCAGTATCTCTTCTTCCTAACTGGGAAAGAGAATTTAGGAGATGGTAAGTTTTTTAAAATTTCAGTTAATTATTAAAGTTTAAGAAGCAATATTATAATTATTATATATATATATTACTGTGCATAGATTTAAACAAATATACTGAAGGTCTGTGAAATTTAAAATTTTCGATATTTTTCTGTTAATGTGGTGCCACTTAGTGCAAAACATTGTTACGAAATCTAGGTATTTCATGGCAATCCTGACAATATATAAAACTTTATAAAAAGAACAACTATTCATATTAAATCCAAAATAAATACAAAAAACAGGAAATAAAGACATACAAAATACATTTTATCAAATTTAATTTTTGAGTACACAGAAGGCATGAAAGCACTTGTTTCATTTAATATTACCAAAAATGTTTGCCAGTTGATCCACTTAAGAAATGAAAATTTAAGACTAAATTGCTGGATTGATGTTCATTTTTCCAGTTTATTCCTGGTGTCATCATTGTATAGCTGTTCATAATGCAATAAACAGGCTACCACATTTTGGCTTTTTGGCACACATTCGGTGATGCACCCATTTGACACGAAAGTACCGACTAGGACAGCATTTTTCAAACTGTGGGTAGCGACTCCCAAGGGTCGCGGGACCTGCGGCAGTGGGTTGCAAAAAAATTTAGCAGTTTTGATATTTCTTTAACTTATTATAATAATTTTACAGTTACCAAATATTTTTACACAATGTATCTGAGAATCATTTTACTTGCTTTGTCTGTGACTGTCATTTCAATTTTTTCTTTTATATAAAATTTTCACATTGTCCTATGTCTTAAAATTAGAAATTAAAAGTTAATGATCTAAAACTGCAATAGTATATTACAGTACAAGTAAAAAAATTGACTGTTTCACACAGGGGTGTGTGGGATTTGCGCAATGCTTATGGGGTCCTGCAAAATTTTTGTAAATATTATGGGGTCCTAAAGGTCGCAAAAAAAAATCTGTGATGAAAAGGGGTGGCGACTGAAAAAAATTTAAGAAACTTTGGATTAGTATATACCAAAGGCATCATATACAATTTTCACTGATGACCAACAGCATAGCTAGAAATTTTGTTGAAACAAGTATGGGCATAGTAAATAAACAAAAAAGCATAAACAGATTTTAAAAAACCTGTCATTAGGCAAAACTTAAAACAAGTATATACATAGTAAATAAACAAAAAAGCATAAACAGATTTTAAAAAAATGTCATTATTACTGTTAAGACTATGAATTTAATTATTAATATTGTATTTTTGATTATCTCCTAGGAAATTAGAACTAAAAACTGTATAATGGATCTTATTACAAGTCAGTTCTTCAGAAAAATGAGGAAAAACCGTGAAAAAATAGTTTTAAAATTCAATAAAATTTATGTTAAAAACTTAGTACTAAAAAGTACTTATTAGTAAAGAACTAAAAAGTAATATCAAAAGAAAATTAATTATTTCTGATCAGATGGAAGAAGGGCACATTTTTCGGAGAAAACTAGTCTTTTACTACAAAATCCGCAATAATGAAGGAAAGATTGCATTTTGTCTCCTTCGTATATTTAAACGAAGTTCTTTTCAAAATGCAAATAAAGCTAAGAAATATAATATTTTTGTATTTAAATTAGAAATTTTCAAATACATAAAAGAAATTCCTTGATGTAATTTGACATATTTACAAAATACATTGAAACTGATGATTAATAAATATAAAGAGAAGAATCAATTTAAAAAATGTCAGTAATTCAGATAAATAAAAAGTTATTAAATTAAGCAGTTTGGTCTTCTGGATAACAAGCATTTTGTTAAATTTTTTTACAAATTATTCAATGAATCGTTAAAACTCTTGTATTGACATAAAAGTTACTTACAATACTGTAAATTTTAAGTATTTTAAAGTACTGTTTTCCCATAAAAAGGGTCAGATTTATATTTGTGCTACAGGTATTGAAACAATGTCAAAAGTAGCTACAGTGATTTAAAAAAAAATAAAAAGCACAAGATATTGTAAAGAGCCTAATTTAAAATTTTTTAAATATATGGAATGGTTTGTAAAAATCCTATTAAATAATGCTTTAGAATAAACATTACATTCTCCTCAATCAAATGTTAAATAATTTTGTAAAATTGCCTTTTCTTTTTAGGTGTCCTGGAATATCAGTGCATTGTTTTCATGGATCATCAAAAAAGGAACGTGAACGGAATTTACTCCGCGTCCAACGCAGAGGCCAAGTTTTACTCACGAGTTATGGAATGATTGTTAGCAATATAGAGAGTTTAACTAGTTTCGATGGTGAAAAATTCGTATGGGTTAGTAATACAAAAATAGTAGAAATCTGAAACTTAAAGTGATTATTAGTGCTGATATTATTCTAAAATGTATTTTTCTTATGTGTATTGATACATGTATTTAATAAAAAACAATTTTTTTTTTTTAAATATAGGATTATGTTATATTGGATGAAGGCCATAAAATAAAAAATCCTACAAAAACCACAAAGGCTGTACATGACCTTCCATCTAAGAATCGGATAGTTTTAACTGGAACTCCCGTTCAGAATAATTTAAGGGTAAATAGTAATTTTTATTAATTGAAATTGGAATTGATTTTATTTGTTAAGATTTGATGTTATTTTATGAGTTAAGTGTCAGAATTTATCTATTTCTGCCATATTACTAGAAAGGATTTTTTAATATTAATTGAAGAAAATAGTATTTGCTTGTACTGTTTTATTTTTATTTAGTGTACACTTAATATAAAACTAGGCAAAAATTTCATTCTGTCCTAGAAGAGAAAGAACAGAATGAGAAATCCTCATCATGGAGCAGGCTAGAATTTGAACACGATTTACTACTTTTCTGATTTTATTTCTGGGCAAATTAAAAAAAAAAAAAAATTTAAAAATATTTAGAACATTTTAAGACCAATATTTAAAAATGCAAGCAAAATTTATTGAGAAATTAAATCCGTTCCAAAGTGGATAGAAAATATGAAATGTCCTTTTAAAATCAGTAAACAAACAAAGTATCTATTATGTCTGTAAGAAAATTGAAAACAAAAAAATTATCTGAAATAAAAAAGAGCATGAGGGATCTTTTGAACCTTTTCCCTTGCAATTTCTTCATTTTACCATATTATTTGTGGCAACAATTAGTGCATGATTAAAGGAGTTTTTAATTTTTAAATTGTCATTTCTATTTTATAAAATGTCCATGTGTGTGTATGTAGTAGTATGCCCTGATGTCGATAAATATATAGATAGATGCAAAGATTTTGTTTTTACATATAGCGGGTGGCCATAATTAAACTGACAGTGCTCACAATGTTCTGTAGCGCGATCTATTTGCGAGAATGATGCCACATTTTGTAGGAAGATTAAACAAGACGGGGGACGAAGGATTCTGCGGAAAAACAAATTAGTTCCAAAAGTCACCGCTAGGGGAATATTTGGCGCTGTGTAATAGAAAATAGAGTGTTTACAAATGCAAATCAATACGGAATAAAATTACCTTTTTATATGCACATTTTCTGATTTAGTTCAAGTGCAATATGGCAACACTTTTAAAAAAGTGTAAAATCTACATAAACACCGATAAAGTCTCGTGATCTGCAATATCACCTTCGCTGAGCAGAAGAAGAAGTTCTTTATTCAAATTTCACGTTACATCCATTTGCACAGTGCCAGTTGCTTGGGTTTTAAAAGGCAATGTGTTACGTTTCGAATCAATCGGAGTGAAAGTTCAATGTCTCCTTCTTTAGTTGAGCATGCGTTACTGGTCAAATTCTTGTACCTCAACCAGTGCAACGCGTCAGCCGCTCTTCGTGCTTTTAGAACACACAAAAAAAATGCATAAAGGTAATGGTCCTGTGTCAGTTAATAAGTTAAAAGCAATGGTTGCGACGTTTGAGGAAACAGGTTCTCTGAAGGTTCAATCAGGCAGAGGACGAAATTTGTACCACAGGATACAATCGAAGCAGTTGCCACGGCGATTGTCGACAGAAGACCAGACAATATTGCTGCCACCTCTAGCGCTCGTGGAGTAGCTTGGAATATGGATAGGCCTTACAGTACAGTATGGAAAATCTTACGAAAGATTATCAACTTCTATCCGTACAAGATCAGCCGTGTACAGGAGTTACTGTACCCCGACCATGATAAGCGATTGACTTTTGCTCTCACCTTTCTTGCCAGAATGGAGGTGGATGATGCTTGGCCGTAAAAATCTTACGGGGAGACGAGGCCCACTTTTACCTGAATGGAACTGTGAATACCCAGAACTGCGGAATTTGGGATGACAAACCACCACATGAAGTCTCAGCAATTCCCTTACATTCACCAAAGGTAACTCTTTGGTGTGGGTTCACAGCGGAATTTATCGTAGGTCCATTCTTCTATGAGAATATTACCCCGACAGGACCGGAAACCTGTTCTGTTACCGGAGAGAAATATCGCCACATGTTGAACAGCTTTATCATTCCGCCACTTCAGCAAAGACAATGCCTGGGGGAAGTCATTTTCATGCAAGATGGAGCCCTCCACACGTTGCTGTACGGGTGCAACAGATGCTACGACAGAAATTCACAACAGAAAGAGTCATTAGCCGCTACTTTCCAACTGCATGGCTACCTCGGTCGCCTGATCTTACCCCATGCGACTTCTGGCTATGGGGTTACCTTAAGTATAAGGTCTATCAAGGAGTGGTCCAGGACCTGGCTAAGTTGAAGGATAACATATCACGGACTGTACGGGAGATTCCTGCAGACATGTTACTTTCTGCTGTTGTGCATACTGTGCACAGAATGCAATATATGGTCCACAACAACGGCAGCCACATTGAACCTCATTTGAATGCAAAATAAAAGGTAATTTCCGTATTGATTTGCATTTGTTAACACTCTATTTTCTATTACACAGCACCAAATATTCCCCTAGCGGTGACTTTTGGAACTAATTTGTTTTTTTGCGGGATATTTCGTCCCCCGTTTTGTTTAATCTTCCTACAAAATGTGGCGTCATTCTCGCAAATAGATCGCGCTACAGAACACTGTGAGCACTGTCAGTTTAATTATGACACCCGGTATATATATTGCCAAGATTGTGTCTGATTTTTAGTATGTGCAATCTGATTTATTTTGCATAATGCAGTATCTAGTGCTGGAGTGCTCAGCCTTTTATTTACCTGTTAAGTAGATAGTTTTAGTTCATGAATATATAAAACTACTTTTATTGAATTTTTGATGTTTATTAAAAATTTTTGTACTTGTTTGCTAATGGAATAAAGCACATTAAAAATAATCTAAGTTTAAATAAATGTGTATGTGTTTTTCGAGTTTTTGAAAGGAGAAGGGGGAGTTATTGAAAACAAAAACTTGCTTCTGTTGTTACAGATGTTTATCTGAGATATGTAAAAATAGCTTTGGGAACAACATTAAGGGGGGCGGGAATTGCTCTTATTCTATTAAGTGCACAAAACAACATATAAGAACTTTAAATTATATTACCAATAAATGTTCTGTTGTTAAATGTTTAAATGTTTATTGTCTCTTTCTCACACAGAATGAAGGTTTTCATCTTAAATGTCCTAAAATGTTTTGAACAACATTGAAAATATCTTTGAAAAATGTTATGAATGCTTATTTAAGTGTTAAAGATAATCTCGAGGAGTATAATAAAGTCTAAACTTGTACACAATTACCAATGCTTACAAAGCTTCCTAAATTTTCTGGAAGAAAGTAAAAGAATGCAAGACAACAAGAAGAATGAAAAATAAGAAAAAATAAATAAGTAACATATAATGTGAAAAAAAAAAAAAAAAATGGAAGACCAGAAGGAATTCTTTCAAGAAAATAATTGAAGCGAAATTGAAAGAGAAAGAAGAAAATCATAGAACTGATAAAGTGTTTGAAGAAGTTAACTGTAAATTTCAGTTGGCTGTAGAAAAGAATTTAAAGAAATAAATATAGTAAATGTAGTGCTTGGAAGTTGTTCCAAAATGAAAGTAAAAAAAAAAAAAAAAAAAATGGAGAGTACAAGGAGAGCTATAAAAAACTTTTAATAGCTTCAATGTTTAATAAGAAATCAGAATTTTAATTTTAAATCTGATGTTTAGATTAAGTAAAATTTTATAAAACGTATCCTACCCAGAACACCTCAATGCCCATACTGAAGTATATTTTTGTTACGACTAGTAGAAACATAACTTTGCAAATAAGAGCAATTAATTTACAATGTCTCATCGAGTAGAACTAAACGTTTTTCGGCACTCACTAATTGTCCCACTTTAATTACTTATCCCTTAAAAAGTTATGTTTAAAGCATTAAACAAATTGTAATTCATAGTTCATTAGTTTTATGTCCTTTTTTAATTACCGTCTTTTTCTGAAAATAAGACATCCTCCGAAAATAAGCCCTATCCTGATTTTCGGAACTTTTTGTAAAATAAGACATCCCCCGAAAATAATCCCTAGTTAAAATAATGTGACAAAAAAACAAAAAAAAAAAAAAAAAAAAAAAAAAAAAAAAAAAAAAAAAATCGTTAAAAAATGCTATTGATTTATTAAGTATAAGTAATAATATGTTTAGCTTTCCTAATGCTCGTATTTCAGAGAAATGTTTGAAACAAAATATTCCGAGAAATTAATTGTTTACCTCTAGAGTTCGTTTCAAATTAATTCTTGGAATTTATCTTAAGCAGTTCACCGTTTGCCCCGAGAAAGATACGTTCACAGGAAAGGCATCGTCATCCGTTAGCGTCGGCAGACTCTCGTCGGGGTGAAATTTGGGCTGAACCGTAACCCCGAGACACATACGACGCAGCGACCTTTTTCCAACCCCCACAGAATGAGTCAAAAATCAAAAGGGGTGATTGATGGGTTACTTATCTTCTCAGCGGTGTCGCATTAGGATCACTGCGAGGCTGTTTCAGGAAAGTAAGGATGGGGACACTTTCTTCGAGTAGCTACCTCCTTAACATATCTTATGAGATCCACAACAGCTTTCTCCCTTTCTATTAACTAACAAAGGGATTTGAATGCTGTCTTTTCAATTCTTAACGATCAAGTAATGATTCTGGCAGGAATGACTGTTTACCTCCAGACACTTGACATTGCAATTAACAAGCCATTCAAGGATCATTTGCGGATGGAAATTAATGAATATATTGAAAACAGAATGGTGAGAAATCATCGAGGTAATTTTGTAAAACCAGGCTTACAAGAAGTTGTGAATTGGGTAAAAAATTCATAGGACAAAATAACTGATAGTGATGTTTCCAATGCATTACGAACAGGCTACTTAGACAAGAAGTATTCATTTAATGATAGATATATCGCAAGACATGAGAGATTCGGACCAATGATTCAACAGGAAATGGATTTGGAAGAAAATCAGAATATAATTCAGAATTTTATTTATGATGAGGTTCCAGAAGATGGCATGACTGTAATTGAATAAATTTAAATTTCTGTATTCTGTGTAAAATAAATATTAAATAAAAATATATAATTATACTTTTATTTTTGTCCTCCCCCGAAAATAAGCCCTAGCGCGTATTTTGGACCAAAAAAGAAAGTAAGACAGTGTCTTATTTTTGGAAAAAGACAGTAATTTTTTTTTCATTTTTAATTTAGTTATATATATATATGTCAAAGGAAAATTATTTCCCCTTGAAACGTCAATTCTTTGGCAAATTAACAATAATTTTTGCATTTGTTTCTATTGTAAATTTTTTTTAACATTTCTGTTTTCTTTTATATAATTTTATAATGTGACATATGTATGATCAGGCAAACTTTAAAAGCATTTTTAATGATTACTATTCAGCAATCCAATTTGACTTCTATATTTCACACTTCTTTATTAGATCAGTTGCATTTAAGTTACAATAATATTGAAATACTGTTCCAAGGAGGTAATAATTAAGTTCTAATAATATATATATATGTAATAAAAATAAAGACTATGTAAACGATTAAATTAACAACATAAATTTCCCTTCTCAATTCTAAAAATAGTAACCTCTATTTGTACTTCGTCATTCTGAGACTATGTCATATGATTCTTATGAATTCTGATGATATAAATGGAACTAAAACTCAAGCAGCCAATAATAATTTTACAGAAGTATTAACTATACAATGAAAAATGCATTGAGAACGAAAACTTAGTTTGAATTAAGATATCACTTTGAACATAATGCACTTGCTTTCAACGCTTTGGCCTAGCTGGACTTCTGTCTGTCTGCTCCTTCTGTCTTACTGTAAATTTATCTAAACTGTAAGCTGTGCTAACTTGTTTGTGGCCACAACATGTTTGCTGAAATAAGAAATGAAGATTTAATCTGCCTTTGCCTCCAATTTCCTACTCATAATGGATCAACACTTCTACGCCATCCAAATTTCTGCTAGTCATTACTTGTGAGTTTGATTTTATCACATATGCTTAGCTGTTTCAAAAACGAAATTTTAAACTAAAATCATGCCAATTATTTTTGCTCATTAAGCTGCTGAAAAATTATCAGTAAAGACATAAAGTAAGAAATTTAGAACCAATTTTACACAAAGATCAAAAATTGAAATTCATAAGTTATAAATTTCAAAAAATCCTATAAATGTATAAAAGAATTTAATCAATGTTAAAACTAGAACACTTTAAACAAGTAAAACTCTAATTAAAAAAATTACTGAACAAAAAAATAATAAGATAGAAAAAGAATTCAATCAATTTCAATGCCACTTTATCAAAAGGAGGATTCGTTGAAATCAATTAAAACCTCTCTTCCATAAAAAATCCCTTCATTTCTGTATCTAGAATTTTTTATGTTTATTCACTTATGAAAGCTTTTAGTTTAAAAATTGTGCTTCAGGTTATGTATCATTAAATGAGTAAACTCTGATCTTATACAACTTTCTGGTGGGGTAATTTTTTTATGAAACCACAACAGCAGCAACAATAAACAAAAAGTTTTATATTTACATTATTTATAAATCAGCTAACAAAAAGTTAAATTCCCTATACTGTGTACCATCTATAACTTCTTTTTTAGTCTATCAATTTTCTCACCTTTTTTTTTATAAAATTATTACGATTGCTTGGCTGAAAATCTGATTTTTTAATGTAAATCTTTCCAATGCAAAATATTTTGTGTCAAAACTTGCTAAATTATTATTTCTATTAAAAATTTTAGCATGGATGCTATGTAATTATTTGTATACTCATAATGAGAAATAAAAGAACTTTCAAATTACTCCCCCCCCCAAAAAAAAATCTTAAAAAATGAGCATGTTTAAGAAACTGAAAAAAAGTTTAAATCTCTAGAACCTGAGAGAGAAATGCAATTCAAGTTGCCTAGCCATGAAAGTGTTTAAAATTATCTTCACTTTGTCGTAAGCTTGTGTACTTATAAAGAGAAATAAGTGAACTTTTAAATTAATAAAAAAAAAAAAAAAAAAAAAAAAAAAAAAAAAAAAAGAAAAAGACATGCATGCTTAAAAACTGAAAAACATTTAAATCTCCAAAACTTATGAGAGAAATAGAGTTCAAATTGCCTACCTGTGAAAGTGTTTTAAATAGTCATAAATTTATCATAAGCTTGTTTGAATTTCTTTTTGAAATAAAATTCAAGTAATGGTCATGATTAAGGTTTTATTTTATTAATTTATTTTTCAGGAATTATGGGCTTTGTATGATTTTGCTCACCAAGGAACACTTTTAGGTTCTCTGAAGACTTTCAAAATGCAGTATGAAAATATTATCACTAGGGTAAGTCATATTGAAAGTTCATGACCATGTTATGCATCTGGAAATAATTCTTGCACAGAAATAACTTGTTGTTCTTTTTTTTAATCATCTCTTTCTTAAACTGAAGTTGTAAGTAATTAGTTATACTATATAAAATGTTAAGAGTTATAAATTAAATAAATTTGCCTTTAATGAGTTTTAAACTTTTCTATTTTAATGAGTAGGATTTGAGTAAATGTTTTTAATAAATACTTCATCTCTGTTGAATAAATGAATCTATATGAAAGTTAGCCACTTTGCACAGAAATTTTTCAAGATTTGATTTATCTTTTTAAAATTTAATATTGAAATAATTCTGTAAATTTTTTGCTATATCATCACTTTGTGAACGAACAAATAATTCCAGTGTTTGCACCATCTGGGGGGGGGACTTTTTAATGAAATTTTTTCAAATCTAAATTTATTCATTTTTGAAGGGGAACTCATTTTCCCCCAACATTTATTCCTCTATTAAATTCATGCATCCTGAAATGTATGTTTCATGTAGTCTTGAAATTTTTGCAGATTATAATAATTCCCACCCACTCTTTTAAAACGAGTGATAAAAAATATTAATTAGATGATTTACTAAAACATTTTTAATAATACATTGGGATATGACTTTAAGCAGAAGGAGTTTTCATTCCCCCTCCCCAATTGGTTCATGGAGGTAGGAAGTAAGATGGAGTAGCCCTAAACAGATTTCTCCCGTACCTTGCTCTGAAGCACTGGCGATCCCTACTTGGTGACCAAAACATTGGATCATTTACCATTAAGTTCAATGGGTTTTGACGCGATCAGATGTAAATATTTTGTAATTACGTCATAAATATACATATAGATGTATATATTTTCTTTTTCTACAACACTTCAGAGTCCTAAGTATATGAAAACAGCATATTTTTAAACAACATTTCATTCTGAACGGAATTAAATGCTGTACTTTTCGCAGAACAGTTTTCTCAGAATGCTTTAATTTGAATGAAATATATTCACAAGTTTTCGTTAATTACATTAGGAAAAAAATTAAGTTAATTTGATTTTATTCGGTTAAGGTACAAAAATTAAGATCAAAGTTTATTGTATTATTAATATTAAAATTATGCATTATTTCTTTTCTATTTATAGAGCTTCTTCCTAAAATACTTTCTTAAATATGACATGATTTTTTGGCTTCCGAGGCATCTTTTAAATCGAAAAATATAAGTCACTTTATAATTAATACTCTATTCGGTTCATTTTAAATTAGAGAATTATAAGAAATTAGCGAAATACTTTAAATAGTACTTAACTTTCTCTGAACATTTCTGAAAGGGAATAAAATAAGGATTTTTTTAAAGTATTATTTAAAACTTGTAACTGAGTTATAAAATGTAAGGGGAATAGTTCTTTTAATTATACTTATCAGATTTTTTTTTTACCTTTCATTTCAACAATACATATTCCAAAACTCTTTATTATGTTCTTAAGTGCGCATCTCATAGCATTTGCTGTACAATACCTTTCAACAGATTGCTTTCCAATACGAACAATTCTTGCTTAAATAGTTTTATAACATATTTGTCAACAGGATTTCAATTTATGTTTACAATTCAATATTAAGGTTATTATATATTTAGATAACATTTATAATCATTATAAATTAGATACATTTAATAATTAGATTTCTTCACAGTTGTTTATAAATGTATAAATTCTTCATTTCAAATACATTTATAAATAATTTAATGAATATTTATGTATTTTGTAAAAGGCAAATACATGCTTTTTGCAAGCACATGCATAAATACCCATACATATTTCATATTTTTCATTTCTGGCATGTGCAAATCTTTAATTTCTGTGCATTCACTATATTTTATTTTTAATTAACCCAAATAAGTAAAACGTGTAAGCCCAAAGGGATTATTTTTCAGATATATAAAATTAAAATGATGGGTTTAAAATGAGCAGCAGTAAAGCCTCTCCTCTACACAATTTTAAAGGGTACATGTTACAATAATATATGGATGTGAAAAAAAGTATTTTATTTAAAACATTTTGGCGTTTGAAACATAAAAATTAAAGTAGCGAATACTCTATCAAGGGTATCGAAAGACGTATACAATTTTATAGGTACCGTAAGGTATTTTTCATTCTTTAAGCATAACATTTTTGTTAAAATTTATATTTTTGTAGTTCAACAGCTTAGAATTTTATAAAACAAATTTTCATAATAAAAATCGCCGTTGTTAGTTATCGAAAAATAACCAAGATGTGATTTTTGCGTAAATGTCACTACACTATACAAATTGCTATTTTCCATCACACTATGAATGTTTCTTTCATGTGAAAGTGTCCCTTTTTCGATTTGTATGGAACTTTCGTGTGTCGAAATACTATCAGAACACTGTCAAGCGAGCTTCTGAATGTAAACAAAGAACACCCCATCTGGTGGCCAAAGCTTCGAAGCAGTGCTTCACTTCCAGTGCCGGTTGGCCACTCCTTCCTTTCTTACCTCCATGAATTGGTTGATCCTCACATGGTAATGGAAACCTACTTCTGACTGAGGCAAGATATGTCGTTAAAAGTCTCACTATTTTCTTTTCTTTCACATTTTCTTTACATTAATCATTCCCATTTTTCCATTCTGAAAATAATTATTTGCAAAGAAATGAGGCATATAGGAGCTTCTGCTCTTTTATAAGAGTTAATTCTTTTTAGCCCAAAAGGGACATTAGTCCCAGATGGGATATTAGTCTTGAAATGACCTTTTTACATTGAATCACTATGAACGGTGCATCACTTTTGTGTTGTATTACTTTTCAAATTGTTCAACCGAGTATTATCACCCTGTATTATATTTAAAGAAATTAAATAATGAAGAATCTGTATGAATGTACTTCAAATTCTGAATGACATAGCTCTCCACCCGAACACGGGCACTTGGAAGCCCAAATTTAGAATTTCATATTTGTTTATCTATTTCATATTTTATAAAACTTTAATGAATTTTTTATTAAAAGCATTTAAAGCAAGCAGTGGCTATGCTCATCAGCATATACACTGCTTGCTTTAAATTTATATACTTAAATATTTTGTATTTTTGGCATTGAATTAAATTTTTTGTGGCATAAGCACCAAGAACATGATATTTAATAAATAAAGTAAACACAAACATTGATAATAAAATGGAAAACAAAAAAAAAAAAAAAAAAAAAAAAAAAAGGTTTTGTAAAGCTATCTTAGTAAGAAAACTGAGCATTGATATGACGCACGGGAAAAAAGACTTGAAAAAACAAAAAAATGTATTCCAATACTTAATGCTATATCAGGGATTCTAAATGTCTACTGCTGTGCTAAATTTGCAAATATAATGCTCATTTTTGTTGTTCGACTTTTAAATGAATTCCTATTACAGTACAAAGTCCGAAATCCAAAATCGTCAGGACTTCGGCATTCTGGATGTGGGATTTTTCCGGATAATAGATCATAAGTTTAAATCTAGTAAGTTGGCATGTAGAAATTATAAAATTAAAATATGAAATCGCGATTTATGAAATAGTGAAGTATTTATGATCTAAAGGGTAACAAAAAAAAAAACATAATATTTATTTGTTTACCTTATTAAACATTTCTTTCAATGTAAGTTGTTTTAAGTTACTTCGTTTTTTGTGCTAATACTTTCTCTTTAATTCTGTAGACAGACATAATCTCTTGTTTAGTTACATTGTTCAAGTCATGTAACTGCTGTTTTGAGAATTCCGACTAACTTTTCAATCAAAATTGTCTCGTTTTCAATATCTTCTCTGTCACTTTCTTTGCTATCGATAGCAGTATTTTCTGGATCTAGAACCATACTACAGATTTCTCCTTTCATTCATTCATTCATTCATTAATTGATTGATGATTGAGAAGCATTGTCATTCCAATGAAAAACTACTGTTATATCACCTTCATTTATTATCGCGTCTCCAAATTTCTTTACAAAATCTGCTAACTAGAAAATTTCACCTTCGTTTTGCGATATCCGAAAACCTTTAAAATTAGCGGCTGTCATCATCAAATTTACCTATCCTTGCATCATGAGCTTGGCAACTAACAAAAAGTTGTTCCGTTAAATTTTATCTTGCTTCTATTGTGCACTGAGACAATTAAGCCTGAATTGTATTAGTTTAGTTATTTTAATACTTATGTCTATTTCTTGCACATACTTAAGGCTTATCAGATAAATAAATTCCTACATATACTTAAGCCTTATTGAGGGTCGGCACTAGATATCTTACTGCCTGACGTAGTCTCTGTGGGTCCTAAATTCTGCGACTTGGCGTGGCCATACGAACTCTGGTGCTGGTTCTAGGTTTATGCGAATAACAAATCAGTTATTCTTAATTCAAATAGCCCTAAATGTAATCTTTGGGTCTATGAGGGTCATCAACAAAATCTATTTTTAGCATATGGAAAGAAATTTTTGGTAAATTTTTCTCTTCAACTGAAATACGTAATCATTGCCAAGTGTAATGTTGACATAAAAAGTTATCACACTCTTGTATTATTCAAATACTAACATAAGAAAATTGTTTAGGTATAATTACATGATTCATTACTCAAGTTGTCATGTTTTGATAAACATGTGGTAATGAAAGGAAAGTATAATAAATAATGATTCGCCAGGTTGGCGTCAGATCAACGATGTATCTATGGGGAATGTTTCGGTTTGAGACGCATGCGAAGCAAATATGCAGCAACGGACCCAAATTACTGATCTTACAAATTTATGTTGAAATGATTGTTTCTTCAATAATGAGGTATTTTATTTAGTGTGGAAGTGAAATTAAGAATTGAGATTCTCCAGATGTTTTATTATGCGTGGAGGGGAGGGGAAATCAAATGCACATGTGTAAAGCCTACGAGAAAAATTTTGTTGATGGCTTTGAGATCCGGATTGTAGATCATTCCAGATAATGGATGTCTGGATTTCAGACTTTGTACTGTACAGTTATAAAATTAAGACTTTGGAGATACTATATTTCAAATTTTCCAATTACATATAACTTATTATAATTGGAAAATTTGTGCATTTTCAAGTGGTACCATAATTAGTTTACCCTCAGCACAGCCAATGCGCACTTTGCAGATAGCCTGGAATTTTCTTGAAACACACCTGTAAAGTCACGGAATTTCATTCTCCTGTTTGTGTGGTAACCCTGCATATATCTTAGATATTCATAGCTTTTTTAACAGAAAAATATGACCTAAACATTTTTATGTTTTTTATATCTGATTGCCAACATGATGTATTAAGATTTTCGGCTAGAGCTCTTTCACTATCATTTTAAGCTATAATAATTTGCATATTTGTGTAGAAGGAAAATCCTACTCTAGTCCCTTCGAAGAAGAATTAAATATTGCTTCCTTTGTGTTGTTTCATGTTGCATTTGTTTATGCTTTGTTTGTATGTAATATAAAGATCCATATTTCCTACATTTATTTTCTTACTCAGTCTAGAGAAAAAGATGCAACTGTTGGTGAAAAAAGGCTTGGTACAGAAATGGCTGATAATTTAAAGAAGCTCATAAAGCCATATTTTCTGAGAAGGAGCAAGGATGAGGTTTGGGGTGATGGTAAACTAAATGCCGAGCTTGAGGATTTGGAAAAGGAAATGAAAAATTTGCAGTAAGTTATATTTGTATGTATCTGTTTGGGTTGATGCAAAAGTTTTTTCTGTTTTTTTTTTTTTTATTTATTTTATTTTATTTTTATTATTATTATTATTATTTATTTTATTTATTTATTTTTTTTTTTAGAGATTTAAATTACATGCGCGTTTCATATCATGTATAACACTCTGTGATGATTATAATTTTCAGCCAGTAAAATTTGTTGCTTGAAAAAGACAAGCATTAGGTCAAAAAGAAAATTGTCTAAGATTAGTATGAAGAGCTTATTAGATACTTTTACTTGTACAAGTTTTATAGAGACAGTACTGCAGCCATAGCATGATGAAACATTTATCAAATATATATGGAGGCTGTGTTTGACATTAGCTTATGTTGTTGCTGGATCAGAAAATTCAGAAATGAAGACAGAAGCTGTAAAAATTAACCATGTTCCTGATGTACATCAGTGGTTTCTGAATAGATTTTGAACCAAGTCTATCAATTTTCTCTTATGCAACTGTTCTGGAATAAATGAAAGCTCTGTTTATATTCAAACCAGTTAAAAGACACACTTAGGTACACTGCACAAAAAAAAGGGGAGGAGACAGTTATATATCTCTCGTTCTACTGGGCCGATTGACAAAATTCAAATGGCAATTTTCATGTCTTGAAAGCGTGACTTAGGATATATATTAGATTTATATGTAGCATTATTCTAAAATAGGTATTCTGACACAAAATGGGAATTTTTTCAACGTACCAATTTTTTCCATACTTTGATTCTACGGTTCAAATTATGCCTAGGTATTAAATTTTGAAAAATTGTGAAAAATTTACGGAGAAATTCAAAAATTTATCTTGGCGACATTTTTTCAGTTTGGCCAAGAATAATTCACTTGGTGAACTTCTTAATATATGGCAACCAATTTTTCTTTCCCTTCCATTATGGCGGAGGAGAAAAAAAAAAGCTCGTTCCTACCTTTTTACATTGTGTATGAGTGGGAAAAAAGTCACATCGTTTCTGCTTCCAAATAATTTTAGCAAAGTGTTTAAACCACATCTGATATTTTATCGCTTTCAACAAATATGCCAAATTTCAAGACACGCCAATATATAAATTCACATATATCTTCGGAAATTTTGAATGAAAAATTGTGATTTTTTGCAGGTATGTCTACTTTAAAATGATGGTAAAAATTTTATAGTTTATAATTCAAAATTTTTTTGAAAAATTTATAAAAATTATTTAAAAATACAAATTTAAAAAATAAATCATAAAAAATGGGTGAATTTTATTTGGAAAGAACCTGAATTTCGAAATGTGAAAGGAAGAATCAAATAAGCTTAATAAAAAGAGAGATTAATAAATATATACCAAACTCAATTAACATTGTTTAGCTAAAATTTTGAGAGCCAATTTTTTAAAACCTACTCATGCGATTTTTATAAAACTTGGTAGTTTGGCTTAATTAATGTTGTAGAATCGAAATATGGAAAAAAATTGGTATGTTATAACAGAAAAATTCCGATTTTATGTCAAAATACCTATATTAGAACAAGGCTATATATAAATCTAATGCATATCGTAAGTCGCGCTTTCAAGACATGAAAAATGCAAGTTGAATTTCGTCAATCGGCCCAGTAGAACGGGAGATATAGAACTGTCCCCCCCTTTTTTTTATTCCTATGCAAATCTTGTTTGTCATGGTATGACAGACCAACATGTTAAGCTTGGCAACCTTCCCACCCCCTCGCAGTGTACATCACAAGGCTGGATCAGTGAATTCTGCATCAACTTTTTGAAAAGCAGTGGCAGATAGGAACCAGATTCTTCTTCTTCTTCTTCTTCTTTTTTTTTTTTTTATTCCAGAAAGGAATGTTTTTTGAGTGAATTATAATGGTTGATGGATAGTCTGCTTCGGTAATAATGGTAAAGTCAAAGGACTCTGCTGTGTAGCAGAGCCTACTCTTCTGACATCAAGAAAAGGACTGCATCCTGAAATGGTTTTCTTCAATGTATTGTAGGTTATGAAGAAAAAAATCCGCGGAGATTAACTCCCACATAACCAAACCATTAATGCTGACATGTACTGTCACAGACAAACTGAGGTAAAAACTGATATGTAAGCAGCCAGCACTTGTCAGTCGCTAAGGTACGTACTATCTTTTGGCATGAAAACTCCAGATCTCATGCTGCTTTAATCAAATTCGGAAAAAATTGCTCGACTTTGGTTGCTGACTATGTGAATGGCTAGCTTTAATGACCTTATTCCAAGCTTTGTTTTGTCAGGCTGCCATCTTTTTTTAACATTATAGAATTCATTGGCTTTTTAAAAACTTTGCATGATGTGCAATATATGAAGACAGCAATACAAGATATTTCTTTAATTCTAAACTAGAGGAATTTTATTGATGAGAAATTAATTTACTACAAGGCAGATTGCAATAGGTCATATTAATTACTGGTAATTACATGATTATGTACATATGTTTTCTTCTGTTCTGTTTTTCACTCTTCAAAAACAAGGCAAATTTTTGCATCAACCCAGTAAATATATAATTATTTCAAAGCATAACTCATTACTTAATTTTTTCTTTCTTTTTTTTTTTCCCTCCACCAGGATTTCAAATCAAAGATTAAATACGAGGAAAAATGATCTGATCATTTGGCTCTTCATGTCTGAGTCTCAGTGTGAAATATATAGCAGTTTTCTGCATTCAGAAGCAGTGAAAAATGTAAGTGAAAAACTTAAATTTTCTTATTTGATTACATCTTACAACTTTTGGGGATCATTTTACATAAGCAGAAATGTGCATGTTTAAATAAAAGCTAAAATATCAAATTAATTTGAGTCAGTATTTAAGAGTGAGTTAAAAATTGAGTTTGCCCAAACGAACTCTCATGAATTAAAGCATATAAATTTAAATCATTCAAAGCATGTTTCTATTATTATTTATGGCAATTTTGTATATTTCTATCACAACTGCTGCTATGTTGGTTTTGAAATTAACACTGAAGTTCTAATAATCTTTCATAAAAGTTTACATAGTAAATTTTATTCATAAATGAGCAGAAATTAATAGCTATAAAAGTAAATAAATTTTAACCTCCCTTTCTGGCAATTTTCATATCTTATGATGAAGTAATAATTTTAGTTGAAGCTTGATGTTTGTCTAATACATTGACTACCAATAAGTATTTGGACACCTGTGATAGAAAAGAAAAACTAGCTTTATTCAAAATCAATAGTTGGCAGAGCCTCCATGACAGGTAATTACAGCGTGGACCCTCCGGGGCATACTTTCCACAAGTCTTTGTATGACAGTTAGTGGTATTTTCTTTCACTCGGCTTGGAGAAGACATAGAAGTTCCTTCACCGATTTTGCACGGGTAGTGCACCCCTGAATTCGGAGATGCAACTCGTCCCAGAGGTTCTCGATAGGGTTCAGATCTGGACTCTGGGCAGGCCAGTCCATTCGATGAACTCCATTGGCACCATACCAAGCCTTGGTTAACGTCAAAACATGACAACTGGCATTGTCGCCCTGAAAGTAACGGGTCCAACTGTAAAACTGCCACAACATAGGAAGCACATTGTCATCCAAAATAGTGCAGTAGGCATCGTAGTTGAGCTTACCATGAATGGAGACCAAGGGTCCCAGCTCATACCAGGAGAAACACCCCAGACCATAATTCCACTTCTGCCGAACTTGACTGTTGGCACAATGCATTCTGGCAGGAGACGTTCTCCAAGTAGACGCCAGTTCCAGACCATGCCATCCGAACGGTAAAGGGTGAACCTTGATTCGTCACTCCAAAGAACCCATTTCCACTTATCTACGGTCTAATTTCGATGTGCTTTGCACCACATTAACCGAGCAGCGCGGTCGGACTTTGTGATCAAAGGCTTATGGGCAGCAGCACGACCATGAAAACCAAGCAGATGTGCTTCCTTACGGATGGTATTCATTGAAACAATACTCCGAGATGCCTGTTGAAACTCCTCGCGGACGAGGGCCATCGGTTGGGTGCGGTTCTTCCAAATTTCTCTGGACAGCTTTCGTCGGTCTCTATCTCCCAGTTCCATTGGTCTGCCGACTCGGGGCACATTCCGACAATCACCGCTCACCTTCCACTTCTTAATCTCATAGGCCACTGACGATTTTGGGTACTTCAGATCGCTAGATATGTCCCTTAAGGATTGGCCACATTTGTGATACCCGATAATTATACCTTTCTCGAAATCAGAGAGCTCCGAACTGCGAGGCATCTTGCATGCGACTAAAGCCGATGCTGTTTCTTACACGATATATACCGGCGGAGTCCGTGACGTACCTTAGGACGCAGATATCGTCATTTGAATAGGTGTCCAAATACTTATTGGTAGTCAGTGTATGTCTTCAAGGATATTTAGTTTCAAACATTGTCCGTAATTCAAAATGAAATAATTTAAAAATTTTGTTAATTTGAACAAAAGTCTTTAAAATCTGTACCCAAATAATGTTAATAAATTTAAGCTTTGTCTTGTAACTTTAGGTAATTCAAATAAAATCCATAATTTGTTTTTGCATGTTTTCATTTTTAAAAGATATGCCTGTCTGTTCAATTTTATCACTAGCCATCAGTGCATGTTTTGTTCTTTGTTAAGATGCTATCTAATCTTGTCCTAGGCAGGTACTCCTTTGTGCTTTTTCCATATTCAGATAACCTAATCTAACCTAGTCTTGTGCAGTCCCATTAACTTTATCCCTCTGAGGCCTGTCCATTCAGCAGCTCTGCAAGTAATTCGTAGGCAGCTACAGTCTTTTCCTAGAATCAACGTTTTAGTACTACTTTTAAGATTGATTTCTGTGTTTGACTTATGACTAAATACAATTTGAAGCTTCTAGCTCTAGTAATAAAGCTAGTTAAGCAGAATTCTCAGGAAACTTTCATCTGGATCCATATGTTGCTCCAAAATAAAGGAATTCCTTGCCTCCTGATTCACACATGCAATGTACTGATGAAATTTGTAAGATTCCATAATGACATCTATGATTTGCCTGCTTCAAAACCAAGATTTTTTTAGAGTACCTAATCGTTTTCCAAAAAAATTATCCCAAGAATTTGATATGAAAATTATACTCTAGGACTATGATCCAATATAAGAAACAAAGCTTTATCTCTTAAAAGAGGAAGTTATTTAAAAAATGTAGTATGCATGATCTAAATCAGAAATGGGGAAGGAAAAAAAAAAAAAAAAAAAAAAAAACTTTATCTATATGTTTCAAAATGAAGACTTTATTTCTGAAGTTGTTTATAGTTTCTCAGATTCTTATTTGTTTCGCAGTTTTTGTTTTCCAGTTTATTTCTGTTGTTTATATTTTTACTTCAGATAATATTTTCAATAAGTTGAACAGTTTGATGTATGTGTGACTTCATATCGGCAAGAATTCACCGTGCAGTTTTATCTGACTTTTACTACTTTTATCTTATAACTGTATGTATTCATTGCTACATATGATTGATTTTAATATTGACCATGCCTAATATTAGAATTGAAGGATCAAACATGAATAAGTTTTTATATGGGCATTAAAAAATATAGAGAGAGTATATACTGTAACTATGCATTTAAAGTATTGCTCGGGGATAAAATATGAGGTAACAAAAAATATCAATTTATTAATAAGTTTTCGGTCCTCATCTATTATTTTTATACTGTGCAATGTATTTAGATTTAAAGTAATGTTTTGTGCTTATGAAGTATATCAGTAATACTATTCAAATCATATATTGTGATAATCAAATATTATAATTTATTTTCCTCGGGAAATAAACTGCCCTTTTTTCCTTCGTGCAGTCTGGCATTTTAGTTATTGTTTTGAAATGTGCATTGAATGCAAAAAAGATAATTCTGTTTGATTGGGCAAGTGCCCGTTAGCAACTGCTGTTGCTTTCATTCATAATTTTTAGACTGCATTTTTTATATATCGAATAATTACTTTTTAAAGCTAGTCAAGTTTGAAATCAAACTGTGTGGGTGATTTTCATCTTGAGAATAATTTTTTTTCCTCATTACTTTTTCTTGTAATTTATTAATTTATCATGTTCGTTTTCTTTTAACTCAACATTGTAATTTCAGATTTTAGTTTCTAAAAGGTCCCCATTAGTAGAGTTAACTACATTAAAGAAGATTTGTGATCATCCGAGACTTTTAAGTAAAAGAGCCTGTATAGAATTAGGACTATATGGAGAACTCAAGTAATCTATTTATTCTATAAAAAGCTGTTATAAAATCTTATATGTAAACTGTTTTCTCCCCCTCCAGTGTAAACGGTGTACTAGTAATTACTAAGCATGTCAAAAATTTATATGAAATGGAATTATAAGATGCTATATATTCAACTCCTTCTCCTTTCATCAAAATGCTATAAGTATTTTAATGAAAAGGACTGAAATCTGGCACATCTTATAAAGCTAATGTTTCATATTTGGAATGTTCATTCTAAGCAAATACAAATAATATGGATTTAAATATAACACCAATGTATGATACTGGATTATTTGGAAAGTTTTGCATTTTTTTATGATAAATATAAATGAAGCAGTACCAAAAACATAAGAAAACTTCATTTTGTTTCTTAAGCAGAATTTTATTTTATTACATTTCGCGAGCAGGTGGAATATTTGTTCTTTCACGTATTCTATCATCATGTATTCTATTTTTTGGAAAATTTTTTGTTTGGTTTTCTGAGAATTCCCAAGTTGTATAATACAGAATTTCAGTGATAGCTCCTTTTAATCTAAGCCCTTGTTTACAGAGGATTGTTGTCCAGAGTTGGCATCATTGTTGAGGCTTAAATTTCTTAAACCAGATTTGAATCTTCTCTTTCCTGTTCTAAAGTTTGGCCATCGGGTAATTAAGGTCGGATTAAGTACTAGAGGAATTCATAAAACCATGCGTGTGATGGAATGTTAGAATTTCAGTTGCTTACCTTGTGTATAGTTTTTTCTCCAACTGTTATGGCATCTTTTCTTTTACTAGAGAAAAAGAAATCCCCCCCCCCTTAGAAGATATAGCAATGCTGGCTTAAGGTTTAAAGTGATTCGCTTACTTGTAAATCACTAATTCTTTATTTATTCCTTTATATATTTTTAAAGTCTTGGATGAAATGGCCGTCCAAAAACCAAAAGAAGCATATTTCCAGCATTGTATGCTTTTTGAGTGTCTCAGGGGGAGTAATGCAATAGTTTTGCTTATAAATGCCTGAGGTTAATTTTCAAAATTTAGGTCCAGTAATTTTGATATTTCTGACTCATATCAATCAGGAAGATCAACAGCTTTAGACAATGATATTTAGGGTGGAAGTGGAAACAAATGTTTGTCAGACAATCCAGAAACTGTGAAATATTCTTAACAAGTCTTGGTCATCCATTCAAGAACATTTGCAGCAGATTGGTAAAGTAAGCAGAGCAGGTGTTTGGGTCCCACATAATCTGTCCGAAGAAAAGAAAGCTAACTGATTCACACATGCAACTTACTGCTTCAATGACACAGAACTGTGAAGTGCTGAAATCTGGTCAAATCGTGAATGCAGACCTTTAATGTGAATATTTGAATAGAGTAAATCAATCTTTAATTTAAAAGTGTGCAGGGATTGTGAACAGAGAGGGTATTATTCTGCAAGAGAATGATGCAAGGCCGCACTGTGAGAGACGAACCCTGGAAAAAATTAATGAATTGTGGTTGGAGGTATTAAATCACCCACCATACCTGCCTGACATCTCACCATTGGATTTCCATTTATTTTGACTGTTGCAATATTTTCTATATGACCAAAAATTTGGAAATTTGCATACTAAAAAGTTATTAACAATGAGGGTGGTTACACCAATGATTAAAAATAAAAACTTGTTAAAATTTGTTTGAATTTAATGTACAAAACATTACTTTCCAGTCCCCCTGATATAAACTGCTTGAGTTTTTGATTAATTATGAAAGATATTGGTAATAAGTTGCATATTCTTTATTTGGGTCTGTTCATTGTAATATTTCAGATTTTTAAGAAGGTTTAGATAGATTGCAGAGTGTCTCAGTTGTAGAACAAGCATGTCCAAATGGTTGCTTTTGTTCAAACTAGTTCTCATCTAATCTTGTATTATATCTGCACTTGAATTCATTGAATATGTTTTGTGTTGCAGCATTAGGGCTACCTGAGAATACTTTTTTCATAAACTTGATTACAATGCAGCTGTGATGCTGCAGGGGGGCGCACTTGGGGCGACTTTGACAAATTTGGACAAATTTGTGCTACTAAAATTTATCCCTTCGTGATTTTGCAAAGGGGGCTACACTTACTATAATATAAACTTTTTAATATATCATAAAATTCATGTATGTGTATATAACATATATAATTTATAATAAAAAATAATTTAAACTTAAATAAAAGTTGGCAGCGGGCAGTCTTGCAATCCTAGTCCAAGTGCATTCAGTTTTTAACACTAGTAGCTAGTATTTTTCTTTATTTTATTGATTGTTTTGTTTAATGTTTGTTGATGTATGAGTGGGATTCCAGTGAGATTGTGGTTGCTGTATTTACTAAAGTATGAATTGTGAGTAGAAAGATAGTACCGACTTTTTTCTTACTACTAAAAAAGTCGGTACTATTTTTCAAAATGCTTAGTTTAAAATAGCCAGATTTGATAATTGGTTAGAAAGAATAAAAACAAACAAGATGAATGCTTATTGGGAGTTCTGTAAATATGAACTGAGGACACATAAAATTGATTTAATGAACCACAGTACTTCTTTAAAGCATAAACGAAATTTGAAGTTTGAATTAGAGTGTGTACATTTTATTTGTTTTGTAATGTATTTTTATTTCTAGCATGACCTGATTAATTTAAAAAATGAAAATATTTAAAATAATTTATGTATGCAGTGTAAACAAAACAATAAAAATTTTAGAATACATGAAGTTTGATCATAATTGAAATAATATTCTTACTGTATCTAGAAAGTTCAAAGATTAAAATTCCATAGTAAGTTCAATACAAAATTATAAAAATCATTTTTACTGCCTTATTTAGTATATATGTTAATAATTTTTCTCTTTTACCGCTAATAATTTCATCTTAGGTAACCTGTACTATTTTATTTACAGTACAAAGTCCATAATCCGGACTCGTCGGGACTTCGGCGATTCCGGATTAGGGGCTTTTCTGGATTATAGATCATCAATTTAAATCTGGTAAGATGTCATGCAAAAATTATACAATTTAAAATATGAAACCATAATTTATGAAATAAAGAGAAATTATGATCTAAAGGGTATCAAAATTTACAAAAGCTTAATATTTATTTGTTTACTTTATTAAACATTTCTTTCAATGTAAGTTGTTTAAGTTGCTATGTTTTTTGTGCTAATACTTTCTCTTTAATTCTATAAACATACATAATTTCTTGTTCAGTTACAAAGTTCCACTGTTCAAGTCCTGTAATTGCTGTGTCGAGAATACCGACTAACTTGTCAATCAAAATTTTTTCGTTTTCAATAACCTCGCTGTCACTTTCTTCACTATCGGAAGCGGTATTTTTTGGATCTAGGACCATGCTACAGATTTCGCCGTCCGTTAATTGATTGATGATTAGGGCATGGTCGTCACGATGAAAAACTTCTGTTATATCATCTTCATTTATTACCGCTTCTCCACATTTCTTTACAAAATCCAATAACTGGAAAATTTCTCCTTTAGTAGTTTGCGATGTCCGAAAACTTTCAAATTCGTGGCTATCATCTTCATCATCCTCACCATGAAATATGGTAACTGGGCATAAATTATGTCAAGCATTTTTTAACGTATCTGGAGACACATCCTCCCACGATCTTGCGATGTTCCACACAGCAGATTTTATGCTAAAAAATTTCAAAAAGTCTTGAATAGTCTTGCCATTGTTCAAGAAATTTAACATAGATTTTTAAAATACTATTTTATATTTGCATTTTGGCTTCAGAATTGGAAACTCTTTTTGACATGATCAAAAGTTCAAGTTTAATTTTTATAAAATTGCTCTAACAGTCTGCAAAAAATAATAACCGGATCCAATTAGAAGATTAATGAACAAGACAATCTGCTACATTAACTGAAATGCCTTAGAATCACTTAAGATAATTTTAGCCTAGCTCATACCGTCCGTTATACATTAAACGAGCATGCGTAAAGCATACAAAAAAAAGTTTGTGGCTTTGAGGTGTGGATTTTAGATCATTCTGGATAATGGGCGTCCGGATTATGGACTTTGTACTGTATAAAGTTGTAAGATTTGTGCATGAGCTACTCCCTCTTTTGTCTAAGGAGTGATTTAAAAATTTTCTTTGAACTTGTGAACCACGGTATTGTAATGTAAATAGGTGTGAAACTCTATAAAAATAATACTAAATTAAAATCAAATTCAAAACAAGGTCATGCACAATAATATTGCAAATTTTATTGCTCCATAGCAGCGATTTTCAAACTTTTTTGCCTTATGTAACCTCTCTCACCATTGCTGATGATCATTCCCCCTTCCTACATAAATATACATAAATATTTATTTAGATTAATTTTTAACGTGTTTTATAAATTAAACAAGAAAATGTATAGAAAGTAGTGATAGATATCAGAACTTGAATGAAAGTTTTTTTTATATTCCTAAACTTAAACTAAATACTTAACAGGTGAGTAAAAGGCTGATTGCATATCCCTCTAAAACTGTAAAATTCCTCGCGGGCTGAGAAACCCTGCTTTATACCTCTGCTCTCTGCGTTGAAGACTGTCCTGCACAGTGTAGCAGAATTGGTGCCAACAGTGGCTCAGATGACAGCCCAATACAATGCAGGTCCAAATGCAAATGTTTGGGAACATTTGCAGCAGACAGTGTTGGATATGGTACCGCAACAGACGTGCCACTTACCGTATTTGATGGCATATAAGACGCAACCTTATTTAGAAGGCCACACACAAGGGAAAAAAATTTTAATAGTCCGTGCGAGAGAGCGCTACCACAATAACTTAAAATGTGGTTTCTTTCTCTTTCATCCATATTTCCTATTTGACCGAGCTCAAAAGAAGATTTCTTGTGTGTATTTATAACAAACCTATGAAATGCTAGTATTTTTTCTTCATAATCTGCTGGCATTTTCTGTGCAATAGTTGTGTTTTTGTGAGCATTGATAAGCTTTGCCTTTTCATAAACCTGTATCACCAGCCCTCAGAGCCTGGAAAGTTCTGATTCCCATGTTTTTCTGCAAATCCTATGGCCTCCATTTTGGTTGAAACACTTATCCCAGATTTCCTCTTATCTATCACCCACATTTTTACGGCCTTTTCAAGTTCAGGCCAAGATGGAGCTGGGCATTGAAGGTTATATTTTTGTTTTTTAGCAGTCTTCAGTTGATCTTCCTGCAGTCGCTAATAGTACGTATCATTTTTTCGATAGGTGATGGACCGAAATGCCTTGCTGCTGCTCTGTTTCCATGCACTTTGGCGCAGTTTAACACTCCTAGTTTATACTGAATTGTATAGCTTAATCTCTTGTTTCCTGTAGTCATATTTTTCCAAGGTATTTTTTTTAAACAAATAGTTTTAAGCACCGATGCTGACACGTTTGTACAGAGTAGCACCGATACCGACACATGCGTCGGCTGAGTCAAAGAAAGTCTATGTAAAGAAGGAAAGGCTCCATAGACGTAATGTAACCGTCGAACCTGTTCAAACTTTGACATCAGCTTCGATCTTTGGTGCTTTTTGGCGACAGATATTTCGCATGCGCAAAATAATTATGGCAGATGTAGAAAAAGTTACGTGTATCTAGACCTTTATCCAGGCTACAAATAGTATTCAGTAACATAGATAACCTGTGTCCTTCACGTATAAGATGCAAGTAACTTTTTTGAGACCAAATTTAGGAAAAAAGTGCATCTTGTATGCCATCAAATACGGTGTGTGCCTCTGTGGAGGACGGTTGCACGGTCAAGTAAATCCTGATTTCTCGTTCATCAGGTCAATGGTTGCATTATTCAGACAAACAATTGCTTCCTTCTTATACAATAGGTTATAAACAGGCTGGTAGTGGTGTTATTATGCTTTGAGGGATGATCTAATGGCAGCTCTGTGGCCTTTAGTTTTGGTAGAACAGACCATAAAAGCTGCAGACTATCTGAATGTAAGTGTTGATCAACTGAAACCTTTCAATGCATCTGCCTTCCTAATTGAAAATGGAATTTTTCAGCAGGAAAATGTCCCATGTCACAAAGCTCGAATTGTGTTGGAGTGGTTCAAGGAAAATAAAAATGAATTCCAGTTAATGTTCTGGCCACCTAATTTGATGGAGCACATTTATAATGTCATGTCGGAGCTCACGCACCACCATGTCGGAATATCGCGATTTTGCATGACTGCTGCATAGACATTTGGTATAATATATCTCCAAACATCTACAAGAGCCTGTGGCATCCATGTAAAGCTGTGTTGTAGCTGTTTTGCAGGCCAAAGGTAGCACAATGCGTCATTGAGTAGGTGGTTATAATGTTTTGGCTCTTAAGTATATATATAGGACTTGGTTTGAATCCTAGAGAACACATGGGCTGGGTTAGTTAGATTATAGTAAAGCATGCAAAGGCTATCTGCCTAAGAAAAGGGGTATCTTTAAGAAAAACATTTTAAGATTTTAAGATTGATTCATATATAAATTAATTTTATGTGATGTAAAGAAAGTATGATTCCTCAGTATTTCTGGATTAGTTTTAAATGGTATAAGTATTTTCTGTTGTAATAAAGCGGGTCTTATTTTATACAGACAAGAACAAAAAAAGTTTGCAATTATCAGATTTTATAATTTGGTAGACAAGGCTTGCTAACAAATTATAAAATCTGATATTTGCAGTTCTGTCAGAAATATTCAGGTTGAAAATGATTCTGTGAATTATATTTTTTGTTCTGTAATATATTATAATATTATATTTCTTCCTTTTCACTTAAATTTTTAACCTAAATATTTTTGTTTTAATATTAGAGAAGAACAACTTCAGGAGCTGAATGATGGTTGTATAGATGCTTCATCCATTGAAGGTGTCTCTGATGAAACTCTAATTAAGGAATCGGGAAAGATGAAGTTCTTAATAAATCTTCTGGAAAATCTGCGGGAAAATAAACATAGAACACTTGTGTTTTCTCTTTCCAGAAAAATACTGGACATGATACATCACATATTGGTTAATAAGTGAGTTTATTTCATCTAATAAATCATTTATATTTTGGTACTCTTCTGTTATTAGGGTCGAATTCAGAAACGTATGTATGTCTGTGTTCATGGAAATATGTACATATGTATGTATATGTACATATATGCTCACACATACATTTATGCATGCATGCATTTCTTAATCCAATCCTGATAACAGAAGAGTAACATATTTTTTGTTGCAATTACAGTTCTTAAATTTTGATATATTATTTTATTTTTTACTTATGCATCTAAAGGTTGCCATGCAGATAGTTTACTTTTAGTATTTTTCCCTACTTTTATGGAAAACAGTATTGTTTTGATAAAGGTTGAATTCTTAATTCTGTAAAAAATCTTGATATTTTAAAATATTAAACCCAGTTTGACTGTCTGCATATATATTTCTCTATTTATATTTCTACACTATCAATATTTTCTTTTAAAGACATCACGGTATTTTCAGTGTCTGTAATACGTTACAAAATTCTATAACATGTTTTTTTATATTATAGAATTTCGTTTAGTAAATGTGTTATACATTTTCATCTAGAATGATTTATATATGTTAAATAAATCTGTTCTGTTTTTTCATATTTCAAATTTTATGTTTCTTTTTAATACATAATTTGTTTTTCATTGTTGTATTGGGGGGGGGGACAAACAGAACAAAACAAAACAAAAAAAAAAAAAAAAAAAAAATGATGTTTTTGTTGTAAAATTTTGTGATATTTATGTATTGTTCCATTTTTAGATATTCATTATGATTTGAGTTTATAAATCATGTTGTTAGTAAAAACATTTAAATACTGAAAAAGGCCCCACCAGCGGCCGAGCGGTAAAGTCACTGAACACTGGTAGTTCGGTCCGAGATTCGAATCCCACGAACAGGCTGGCTGCATGGGCGTTTTCGTTGTTTTCCCCTTGTGTAATGTGTATACGAGCCAGTTTCCCTTAGAATGTCCTCCACGAAGGCATTCCTCATCTTAGGCAGATAGCCCTCGAGGCTTTGTCATAATCACACACACATGCACTAAATTTACTAAATACTGAAAGAATGTACTTACTGTATAGATAATTTAAACCAGAATCAATTCTCTTTTGGAAAATGAGAAACTTTCAGGTCGCAGAAAGTAATAAGGTTCCTTTCGGATGAATCTGTGTTTTGGCAGAATGCCAGCCAAGGTTGCATGGTACTGGAGGAGTGCGAAAGGAAAGGCATTTTTAAACCTTATGTACACATGATCCTATGAACTTAAACTGCAGAAATATTAAAATCTTGCCAAATTTATTAGTACTTTGCCATATTTTATCAAATTATCAACTTATATATTATAAAGTCATCAGAATCATCAAATTATAATACGAGTATTATAAAAAAGGTGATACTGTGCATCAATTGTTTTTTGATAAATTACCAAATTTTTAAATCTGATATTTGCAGTTCTGTCAGTAATGTTCAGTTTGAAACTGATTCCGTGAATAATTTTTTTTTTTTTTTTCTGTATAGTAGAATGCATTTGTTACGTTATTAGAAATTTTGATTATGAAAAAAAATAATGAATCAATAGATGTAGCTTAAAATACTGTGATGTCTGCGAAAAAATATTCGAAGGAAAAACTGGAACTGTTGTGAAACTTCTCTTTCAAATCTTGGTATGAAACATTCCTCCTGTATATACATCAATTTATTTGCAATTTTTCATGCCAGAACAGAGACTTCTGTGCTTCTTGAACTGCTGTATATGTTTGACCGTAACCCCCTATTTCTTTTATCCTCTTTATAGTTCACCTTAAATTTAAAATGATAGAAATTTAGTACAGTTTATGATATCAAGACAATTTCAGATAGAGCTGCACACAAACCAGGAAAATCTTGTTGTTTGAGATAAGGGCAACATAATGACTATCTTTGATTTACAATAAATTTGAAAAATTTCAGAGTATTTTGACAATTTGAAATATATTTAAAGTGCATTTTCTGTATTATATTTAAAAAAAAAAAAAAAAAAAAAAAAAAAAAAAAAGAGACTGGTGAGGAATAGTACATTTTTTTAATCATTTGTATAAACCTCATCTTGTAAACTGAATTGCCTATTCTGTATTATTTAGTTGCTGTCTGAATTTGAAGAGAAAATAAAAGCAAATAATTTGATTACCATTAGAAATATATAACACATTGTCTTTAAATTCTCCCAATATATTCAGCTTGAGAAATAAGCAGATTGATTTATGCTAATTCTAGTATTTAATTTTTCAGTGCTTCCTTATTATTAACAGCTCCCATTAATAATGAGGAATCTATTTTACAAATGGTGCCAATGTTTTCAATAAATTGCCATCACAAAGCATCTTCAAATGGCTGGCAGTCCTTACAATGATCATTTATAGTTTGCTTGTAATGAGAAGAGTTCCTAATAAACAACTTGTGTATATGTATTATCCCATCGACTGTAAAAGTTTGCTACCATTGAACCACAGTATTCAATCCTCTTTGTTTCTGCACTTCATGAAAAGGCTTTTGTTGATTTCTACTAATTTGTTAGGCCCTGTAATTTTACCTAAAGCTCTGTTTAGAATGCTATGAGTACAGACTTCTGTAGTACATAAGTACCATCACTTGTTATGATATTCTTGTTTTCTGTGTAAATGTTAACATTTCATAGTTGTTAACACTCATAGTTCTGTCATCACAAGAAGAGCTTCAAGTATTTCATGTGTTAACATATTTTCTTTTTTCAAAAAATTGTTTAAAATGTTTGATTTACTGAGAAGTAGAGAAGATGCCGTATCATTTTCCCAAGAAAGATGTATTTTATATCGCATTAGAATATGTGAAAATGAACATTAACCTTTTCAAGATGGCATGCCTTTGTGCAAGACGTTTTCTCGGGATGGATGAGGTCGAAAGGAATTGCCCCGCAGGATGAGGGTATTGTATTGCTAAGCCTAACTTTTGAAGAAAAACAGACGCAAAACGGTTTAAATCCTAAGGTCATAATTTTGGGTACCTAAGCTGTCATATATGTTAAAATTAACAATCCTTTTCCTTTTTTCATGAAAAAATATATATATATAAAAAAAAATGCTTACTTTGAGAAATAATTTTCAGAAGTCCTGTTCAAATTGTTCTGAGATTTTAATTGAAAAGATACATTAATCAGCTTTAAAATTAATAAAACCACAAGAAAGGCTATATATAAGAAGTAACAAAATTTTTCAAGGGACGTGGAAGGCAGGTACTCAGTTTTGTCTGGCTCATATCAGAATCAGTAGAAATATCACTCTAGAACTCTTTAGAAAATGAATTGTCACCCTCACCCATGTCAGTTAATTGGCTCGTTTACCATGTAAGTACATCCTTCCTCTGATAAATAACACTTGTTTGTCATAATGGACTGAAGTAAAACCTTTCCCAAATGAAAAGGAAAGTGCATGAAATATAAACAATAAGAGCAATGTAAAGCTCAACAGAACCCTATATAATAACCCTTAAAAGACCCTACATAGTAGTGAAAAAAAGGATTCGAAGGGAAATCAGAAATGGGAATGTTTCATGTGGCAAGTTAAAGAGCTAAGCTCTACCTTATTCTCTGTTCCTTCCACAACAGCTGACATCAAAGTTAGGCAGATAGTTAGGATCATGAAAGTTAGGATCCTAAAACTGTGTTCAGTTCAAAAGTAATGTATACAGAATGCCATCTAGTGGTTTTTAAAAAATGGTTCAGCTTAAAATGCACATAGGCATACCCATCCCCTAAGCTCATTCTCCAGTGATGCATGGGCATGCCCAACTGTGAGACACATTCATAGGGAATGCGTATATAGGAGCAATTTATTTAATGTTGGGCAAAGGATTTGATGCCATTTAACTAGTGAGAGAAGCAACTTGGCCTTTATGCAAATAGAATTGATGTCTGGAATAATTTTGAGAGAGATGTATTCTCTGCATCTAATATGACAACCAAATAAGTGAATAAGTGGCCTTAAAAATATTGGAAAATAAGCAAAAATCTCTTTGTACAGTGAAAAAACATAGAGTACTCCAGAGTACTGGATATTTGGTGGGTTATGCTGAAAAACTGGTGAGTCTCCAAATAGAATGACAGCCACATTCATAGCAAAATTCATTGACCATGTGCAAGAAGATCTATGATTTATTCAGACTGTTCACGAACATATAAAATAGAGGAACTAAAAAAAGCAGGTTAGAGGCATTTTATGTAAATTTTATTTTGTTGATCCAATAACATAATATTTTGAAAGACTGTGGCACTCTGCTGAATGGTGGAATTAAAATCAACTAGACACAGCTTGCCTTTTGGAGTTGATGTGGTAAAAGTGTTTTGAGTGGAGAAATTGCTTTTAATGCCATATTTAAAACACTCAAAGGAGCATGCAGCCACAAAGTGTATGTGAGAAATAAATATAAACTTGGCAATAATCCTGGCTCTGACTTAATATTTAAAACAAGGGACCATAGTAATAAGGATGTACTAGTTTTTCTTCACTTTCTGGGCCACATGCTGCAAATTGCCACTGTCAGCAGCATGAGATTTATTTAGTTTATAAGTTTTGAAACAAGATGTAGCTCTATAACTATACATTATGTAGAGGAATATTATGTCATATAATAAAAATAGTTTTGTTGGGCTAGAACATGGTGATGTAGCTGGTGCAAGAAGATGTCATTGCATTCATAGTCAGCTGAATATTTTATTCTTGATGAAATGTTCTTGACATAATGCAGTTAAACTGATACTGAATAATTAATACTTTTGACATATTTATCATAGCAATGGATTGAAGCTCAGCAGTGGATAACATGCAACAACACATAATAGGAAAACAGGGAATGTTCTAATATATACATAGATTATTATAATAAAGCTAATTAAAAAATTATGCAGTTAGGATTTTACTTTGTTTTAATTTTTTAATTAAAATTTTCATTTACAAAACAAAATTTATATTATTGTTGGCATTAAGATTTTTGCATTATGCAAGTATACATTCATCATAAGAGCTACATTTGAAAACCTAATTTTGAAATAGTAGACTTGAGAAATTTATTGCTGTTGAATTTATTAAAATTGCATGTTACTATTTTTATGATAGAAATTGGAAATAATCAAATTAAACATGAACATTAAATGGCTATTGCATGCTAAAAATTTATTTAACATATTCTTTATTTTACATATTCGTACTTCATCATGTCTTGAAATATGTTTTACTTTTTAAATCTCATGAATTCATGTTTGGACAAATTAAGAATTTTATAAGACAAATAAATATTTTGTTAGCTTAATTTTGACACTTGAGCCTGAAAACATAATTATATGAAATTATTTTGTATATTTTCACTTTTTCTCATAATTTTTGTCTGTTCTTTAGACAATGGAAAGTTCTAAGAATTGATGGAACAATAGCAAAGATTGAAGAGCGTGAGAGGCGTATTCAGTTATTCCAAAAAGATCCTTCTTACAGTGTGTTTCTTTTAACTACACAGGTAAGTGTTTTTACCATTTTTTAAGAAGTTCATTTTTATTATTGCCTTTCAACTTAAGTATATTTTAAAGAATTTGCCAGCATCTTCTTGTTCAAGTGTCTTATATTTCATTTAGGAAACTATCATTTGCGATTATTGAAATATATTTTGTACTAAAGTATTCTCTAAAGCTCTCATTTTTTTTTTTTAAAGGTTGGAGGTGTTGGCATTACATTAACAGCTGCCGATAGAGTTATTATTTGTACGTATATATTATATATATTTATTGCAATGCTATTTTTAATGATTTGAAATAATGATCCCTAAGCATTAGCATGTGTTTGTGAATGTATATGCAAGGGCTAAATATTTATCTCAAGTTAAATGTCATTCAAATTGGATAATATCTTGGTTACAAAGATTCTCTTTTAACACCTAGATTGAAAATAACTAGCAGTTTTCTATGAATATGTACATTTATATCAACTTAATTGCACTTTACTTTTTTTTACAATTTTTAATAGGTTCTTTTAGAGCAGCTTTATTACCTAGAAATACATATATAATAATGAATTTTCTAGTAGATCATTTAATATATTGTCTCCTTTGAAAAATGTATAATGTTATTGAAATGAATTAACTCATTAGCATATTTAAAATGGAATGATTAAAAAGGTGTAATTAGAAGTGAAAATGCAATCAATAAACTAAGTAATTGACCAGAAATTAGTTGACTTTTCAAGAGGAACAAACTTACTTCTAATCAATTAACAATAATTAATAAATGCAAAAGTGTTTCGTCTTTTTCTCAAGTAAGAATCATGACTAAAAATGCTTTGTACTAAGAATTGGTTTAAGTTATTCAAATTGCTTGAGAAAATTGAGTAAGAAAATAAAACTCACAGTTATAAGAAATATATATTCCGATTTGAAGATTAAATTATATATTCCGATTTGAAGATTGAATATGAAACAGAAACCTTGACAGAACCGCCACTTTCTTACTGATTTTTAATTAGTAATTTGAATAACTCTGCAGCTTGAATAGCAATCTTAAACTGCTAGTAAACTCAATCTTACTATAAAGCTTTTTTAGTCATGGTTCTTACTGAGAAAAAGATGAAACACTTTTACATTTATTAATTATTGTTAATTGATTAAAAGTTAATTTGTTCCTCCTGAAAAGTCAACCAGTTTGCAGTCAATGATAATAATTACTTAGTTTATTGGTTGCATTTTTTATTCTAATTATACTTTTTTAATAATTCCATTTTAAATATGCTAATGATTAAATTCATTTCAATAGAATTCTACTTTTTTCAAAGGAGATAATATATTAAATGATATTCTAAAAAATAAATTATTATTTTATTACTTTGCAGCTTTAGTGTAGGTATTAGGCAATTTATTATGACTTGTTTACTTAAATCTTTGATTATATATAGTATATATATAATTTCATGAAAGCTCGACTATTACCGAATGTTGAATGCAGAAAAATTTATTTCATGCCCGAAGAACTCAATAAATGGAAGAAATTTCCAGTCTAAAATTATATAAACAGTCATATCATTTGTTACGAACTTGAATATCAATCATTAAATATTACATAAGATTTTGGGGAAAAAATTAATTTCAGACATAAAAGCTGACATATTTCATAGATCTTAAACATGAAAGTAAAACATTTTATCATATTATAAAATCCTGTTAAGCATGAAATTAGGTAGAGATGTTGCCAAACCTGTGCCTGTCATTCTGGCAGAAGTTTAATGCAATGAATTGTTCTTCATAAAGTCAGACAGTAAACAGGTACAAATTACAGATGTAGTATGTTAAAAAACTTAGATTGCTTAAATTAAAAACAAACAAATTAAAAACAGAACTTGCATTCTCCTTTATGAAAATTAAACTGACTTATACTAGAGTATTAATTGGGTTATGTAAAACTAGGCAAAATTCTCATGATTATGATGTGATGTCTTCCTTATCCATTTTTGTTATTAAATCACACTGTTTGGTAACAATGTATATGTGCTAATAATATAACAAGTTCTTTAATGAGGTTACAAATGTCTGATTCACTTAATTGTTTTTTTTTTTGGGGGGGGGGGGGGGTTTGAATTTCTGTCTAAAATTCTAAAGTATTCTAGTTAATTGAGTGCCAGATAGTGGGGCTTTTAGCTATAATCATCATAGATATTTTATCAGTCATTCAGCTAGCTATAATTACACAGAAATCTACTAGTTTTTATATTTTATTCTTATTTAGTCTTTTTTAAAATGAATTTTGTAAATGAGTGAGCAGATTTCTGTAGTAGTTTTCTTATTCATGCAAATTCAGTAAAATTTCAGGTAAGAATTTATTAACTCTTATTTTAAAAACACAAACCTATTTCATTATTATTTTTCTGATTTATTTTAATGGAAACGTAGTATAACGCAAAATTCTGAGTATAAGCACACTTATAGGTATCTATTCACTTTTATGTGAAACACACGTATGTTTGGAAATATTTTAAAAGGAAAGTTATTAATCAGTTAAAGAAAAAGCATTTTTATCAAAAATATGCTTAAAGCTTCATTACTCTTTCATTTTAAAACTATTTATTCATGCTACTTTTTGAACATAATAACTTCGGTCTTCATCTAATTTCAAGACATTTCAAAATTTTCCATCTTTACATCTAAATTTCGTTTTTTTTTTGGTATTAACTATGATTATGAATGACATTATTTATAAATATAGCTAGCTATAAATGGAATTTTGCCTTTATTTTATGGGAAGGACTGTATTTCAATGTAATTTATCTTTTTAATATTAAAAAAATTTATCTCCTTGTTTGTCTTATCAGTTGATCCAAGCTGGAATCCTGCTACGGATGCTCAGGCTGTAGACAGAGCATATCGTATTGGGCAACAAAAAGATGTTATAGTGTACAGATTAATCACGTGCGGTTCTGTAGAAGAAAAAATTTATCGTCGTCAGATATTTAAAGATTCATTAACAAGACAGGCAACATCTGTGTCTGATCCTTATAGGTATCTATTTAATTTTGATTGATAGTTATAACATTTTACAAAGTTTTTTTTTATTTATTTATTCTTTATTTCTGTGGTAGAGAAGCATAAATAATTAGTTAATTTTCATTACATTTTTATAGTATTCCATATATGTGTACATTAAAACATTCACGCACTGATACATAATTTGTATTATTTAAACATTAATGCTCAGATAAATGTGTGTATTTTGTAATTAAATCTGTAATGTTTATTGTAAATAAAAATGTTTTTCAGGTATTTCTCAAAGCAAGAACTTAGAGAATTATTTACACTTGAGAATCCTCGTTATTCAGCAACTCAAGTTCAATTATCTCAAATGCATTCCAATGAACGTAAAACTGATATATCTTTAGAGGAGCATATTACATTTCTTCATTCACTAGATATATTTGGCATTAGTGACCATGATTTGATGTTTACGAAGACTCTAAAAGACCCAACTGAGGACAATGATGAGTCAGCAGTATGTAATGATTACATAAAGAGACAGGTACAGTACTTTTCATTTAAAAATGAATGGAATAACTTTGATTTTTTTAACATAAAAATGTTATCTAAGCTAATAGAGATAGAGCTTATTTTTTGTTTTAAAATGAATGGAATAAATTTAATTTTTTTGAACATAAAAACTTTACCTAATCTAATAGAGACAAAGCAGTTTTTAATACCCTATACTTGAACAAAGTTTTTAGTAGAAATGGTACATTTGTAAAGCTATCATTTTTTGCAGTAATGTTTTATTGTACATTTAGAATAAAATAAACTTCAAAATTTCTGTTTAAACTTAGTTTTCATTTAAATTATGAAAAATATATAATAAACACCTGCAATGATTTAAAAAAAAAATGCAAATTTTTGTTAACTGTTTACTGAAATCTTTGCTGCTGCTATTTTAGCAGTATGTTCATGTTCAGAGATAAGTGTGATAAGTACAATATGAATTTTAATTGAAATAATTCAACAATGAATATAAGGAATTGATGATCTCCAGGACAGAGATTTTTGTAATCATCTAATTTTTCATTTTAAAGCATGTGTTGTATGTATATTTAATATTTGCATTTTTTATTTTAATTCTGCCCGATACAACCCAACCAAAAATAGTATTTTGTGCAATTACATTTTTAACAATCTGCCCTGGCTGAAGCAGAGAAAAGAAATAGTCAGCTCCAATTATCATGTCTGTTTGGGTGTACTGAAATTCGGATCTGCAAGATCTTTACTGATCTTTCCTGTCAATCTTTACTGAAGGCAAATGCGAAGTTAATTTTTTAAGAATGTATCAAGGTTCGTAGGTGTCCTTATGAGTGCTATAAGTCCTTATATTAAAGGCTGTTATAGGTGCTTACTTTTTCTATTTTTTTTTTTTTTTTTTGTTTTTTGTTTTTAGCGCTTTTTTTTTATGAACGTGCAATTTCTCCTCGTACCAAAGCCGAAACTAAATAAAAAAACTTTTCTTCCTTATGTGAAACATCAGATGGTGAATCATACTCCTGGAAATAGCTTTTCCCCCTTTCTCTGCATTAACATAACCTTTGGTGCATGAGGAGAGTACAGGCAGGTGCCTGTCGTTCTATTGGTCAAAGAATTGCGAAAGCGTAGAAAATTCCGGTACATTTGGTATTTATTTCCTCCCACCCAAATAGTACTACACACGTTTGAATTTCTATCAAGATTTTAATAATTTGCATTCTCCTTCCGCGTGGTCAGTTCATATTCGTGTTTATTATGATCGTTATGCTTGTATTATGAGCATATGTATGAATATTTATAATAATATAGTTGCAGTAACTGCTGAAGTATAGATAAACTTCCAAAAATGGGTGTGTTTTAACACAGATTAGCTTTCTTAGGAATAATATCCGGAATGGCTTAAATAAAGGGAAAGTAATTGAACAGTCAAAGTAATTTCTTCTTTCTTTCTTTTTTTTTTTTTTTTTTTTTGTGTGCCGAATACATTATACAGTATGGAGGTTGGGAGGTTCTCCCCTTTCTCCGCAAAATCTCGAATATTGAAACTGTTACAGTTCGCTGCAAAACAAGCAATTGACTTTTTTTTTGGTCACTTTTCAATCTGGATTGAATAGGACTAAAAATTCTGCGGTCTACCAACCCCAGCGAAGAATGATTCTATTCCAGAAATTTAATGCTGTCTGCTCAAAATTACGATGAAAAACACTCCTGATTGGTAAGTCTCTTTCTTTACTGTTAGAGTTTTACTGTGCTCGCTATGCAGAATATTTTTCAGTTCCATTGGTGAATTTTTAAATGATGCACATATCGAAATGTCAAAAGCATTTATTCAGTCGAAAAATCTAAAAAACAGCTATAATCTACGTCTCCGGCTCCTTTTTTTCTGGTTATGCTCGACTATCCAAATATTTGGCAATTTCCGAGTATGCAGGTTAGTTAAGCTTTTACTGTTAAAGGATGACTGCATGAAACAATTTCCCATCTTCCGATTTCAGAAATGTTCCTATATTTTTACTTAAATTACTTTGCCTACAATATCTCTTAAGGGAAAAGTTTTATACAATGAAAATTTAGAAAATGCTCAGAATTTTGATTTAAGTTAAATTATTTAAATATTTATATGAGTGGAAAAATAAATTGTACTTATTATTAGGTGCCAAGTGAATACAATAAATATGTCTTATTATTTATTTTCTCTATTTTGAGCTGAAATTTCATCATTAAATTTTGTAATATAGTTTAGTTCTGCATAGTTTTTTTTTCTCTCATTGTAAACTAGTTCTGTAAATTGAACTGTTATGTAAAATTAAAAAAAAAAAAAGAAAGTAATTGTTTGCCATGGTTGAAGTAATGCTCATTTTCTCTTAATTAATACTGCATTTCTCACATTTTAAATTGTAATTTTTCTTTTAAGGTTATGCAGTTGTGTATAATGTAATTAGACAGGTGCTTATTTTTTTTCTTAAAATGTGCTTATAGATGCTTATTTTTTTAACAAAAAATGTGGCTACGAACCCTGTATATGCTTGTATTAAAACACCATTTTTTTTTGCAACTCGGATTTCGGGAACAATTTTACATTTACATAACCGCGAGTCACAGCTGCTTCAGGATCACAAAGTCCCTTTACGCTAATATGGGCAATTTTTCTGCATATATTTAACAGTCGAATAAATGATTCACTGATGAAAAAAGCTTCACTTCCACTGTCAAAAAGGATTATACATTCATGACCTTGGCCAGCAGAATCGTAAATTATTTCTTCCGCTGTTGGTAAAAATGAAGTTCTCTGATCCTGAAAGAAAAACTTGAAATATTATTTTGTTTGTCTGAGTTAGTTACAAATTAGTTCATGACGTGGAGATGAATTTGACACCACTACGTTATTATTTTTAATATCTTCGTGAAGTAAAGTAAGATGTTTTGCTTTACAAATAGAACACAAATTCTGCGATGAACAGAATTTTACGTGATGATTCCTTAAACAATTGAAGCATAATAAATTCTTCAGGATGATATTTTTCCTAGTCTTATTATCTGCACCTTTAAATTTATAAGACTTTGATAAAGTATGAGAACCATTGCATTGCTGACATTTTAGAACAGAATGTTTATTATCATGTGAAACATTCTTCGAAACAGAACACTGATTTTTATGCAATACTCACTTTTCAGTATTATGAGTGTTTAACATTTCGAGTGAAACACATCTTGAGTTTAAGAATTCTAAAAAACAATCTAAGGTAGGAAAATCTTCTTCACAAATTTTTTGTGACCATAAGTAGTGTTTTTCTGGATCGACCTTTTCTAACAAAAATAAATTAGCCAAACATTCTAGGTGAAGCCGTTTTCGCCAAGAGATTTTAATCTATGGACAACTTCATCACATGTATCAGATAGTTTTCTTAGATTAACAAGATCAGAACTAGTAATTCTGGGTTGCTCAAGAAATGTTCTGACAAGCAACATGACAATATGATTTTTTGTATCTTAACGATTCATCAGTTTGTCGCAAGCCTCATCTTATGTAGTTTCGGAAATCGGAATGTGCTTAATAATAGCAGCTGTTCGTCTGTTAAAAGTCCTATCAAATATTGGAATTTCTGAATTTTCGCTAATGATTGGTATGAACTGTCGCCATAGATCTTTAAAATTAAGCCTATCAGTATATTTACCATTGAAATTTGAAATGTTTAAATGAGGAAGTTTAAAGCTAGCCGCAACTGCAACGGAATTTGAAATCGAAACATTTCTGGCCGTTGAAATTTCCATGGCTTATTGATACATTACTTTTGTTTCAAAATATTTAGCTTTGAATTCAGCAATTTCAGAAGCTTCTTTGGGTAAAGTGGGATCATATTGATCAAATGTTTTAAATATTTGTTGAATTCTGTATAATCACGTTTTTAATTTCATTAGACTTAACTGATTACTGAAACTATTGTGAAGCTGCGTTAAGGACGATTTCGTTCGTCCTCTTAATATTTTAAGATTAGCTTCACTTAATTCCGTCATTATTACCATGAATAATGATTAATAAGCTCAAATAGCTTCAACAGGATACTTAAACATAAACAAATATTTCCACTTATCTTTCTAACGTCATGCAGACGATTTGTAGTCCTAGTACTTGAACAGTTCATTAAACACAGTTCTAAAGCATATAATTACAACATATTAAATATCATTAAATGCCTCACCTGGAGAACTAAATAGTTTCCTTGAACTAAAAAGCATCAGCTTTGTAGATAACCTTTATTGACTTTCTAAAACATGAAATTCTTTAACAGAAAGATTTCCTGCAGCACAGTGCGGCTAAGAACGCTATTCTATTAAAACATAAAACATGAACAACTGTTACCGTTCACAAAAAGTCAGTAGTAAAATAAACCATGTTGCCAGTAACAAGCTTATTGTAAAAATCATAACATATTATTAAATAGTGAGAAAACAAATAAGGCAAAAGAAAACAAGAAATGCAAATATTAAATATACATCCAACGGCATGAATTTACTTACTAATACCAAGATAAATAAATACCAAGAAAAATTGGAAGGGGGGAGCAGAAATGATTTTTCTTTCTTCTTCTTCCTCCTTTTATTTATTTATTTATTTTATTTTTAAAAATTTTTTTATATTTTTTACTGTAGCTTGATTGGAATTCAAGCTTATTGATTCAGTCTTGGGACTTCGGTGATTCCGGATTAGGGGTTTATAAGATGGCATGCAGAAATTATACAATTAGAAGTACGAAACCGTAATTTATGAAATAAAAAGCAATTACGATCTAAAGGGTATCAAAATTTGCAAAAAAAAAAAAAAAAAAAAAAAAAAAAAACTTAATATTTATTTGTTTACTTTAGTAAACATTTCTATCGTCATGCAGATGATTTGTAGTCCTAGTACTTGAACAGTTCATTAAACACAGTTCTAAAGCATATAATTACAACATATTAAATATCATTAAATGCCTCACCTGGGGAACTAAATAGTTTCCTTGAACTAAAAAGCATCAGCTTTGTAGATAACCTTTATTGATTTTCTAAAACATGAAATTCTTTAACAGAAAGTTGTTTAAGTTGCTTCGCTTTATGTGCTAATACTTTCTCTTTAATTCTATAAACAGACATAATTTCTTTTTAGTTACAAAGTTCAAGTCCTGTAATTGCTGTCTCGAGAATACCGACTAACTTGTCAATCGAAATTTTTTTGTTTTCAATAACATTCTCTGTTACTTTCTTCACTATCGGAAGTGCACATGGGTAAATGCTTTACGTGCATGCGTAGCGGACGTGCGCATCAAACGCGCATGTGTAAGTTTGCGGCTTTGAGGTCCGGATTATAGATCATTCCGGATAATGGACGTTCGGATTTTGGACTTTGTACTGTATATATATTTGTCCTATCTTTGTACTTTTATTAGGTTTGCATATTATTTTAAGGCTTTTAAGTGCTGTAATTTATAATGATTCTTTTTGTTAAGCAATATATATATATATATATAATTTTTTTATACTTATGATTGTTTTTCCTTGACAAAATAATACGATTGTCAAATTTTTTCTTGAATTTTTTTGTTTTTTGAAATTGTAAAAAAATTATTTCATAAACTTACATATTTAAAAATGTATTTTTCCCTGAAAGAATAAGTTAAATTTTTAACTATTTTAACTAATTTTTAGTTTGAGAAAATTGAAAGGTTTTTTAATGCCTTTTCATTTATTAATTTTTTTAAAGCATCAATAGTAAATTAGATTTTTTTTGTTTGCATTTTATCATCTGATGTGGCATTAGACTAAAATTTCCAATTTTTCAAGAGCTCTCTGTTACAATCGTCAAAATTAGTATCTTTATATATTTTACACAAGGAAAAGGCCTTATAGGTGTAATACAACTTTTATTTGCATATGCAGTTTAACATAGCGTATAAAGGATCCCTGGATATAAAGAATGAACCCTTTTGTCTTGTCCAGTTTCCTATATATTTAATGTTATAGTGAATTTCAAAGAGTATGAAAATCGGATATAACGAACATATGGATATCTTTCATCACTATGTAGTATAAAACAAAGTTGCTTTCTCTGTCCCTATATCCCTATGTATGCTTAAATCTTTAAAACTATGCAACGAATTTTGATGCGGTTTTTTTTAATAGATAGAGTAATTGAAGAGGAAGGTTTATATGTATAATAACATCCATTAAATAGTGGAGAAATACAGTTATTTTTTAGATTTCTAATGTGATGTTGTAAATAATTACATTTTTTCTGCTTACATTGCAAACGCAGGCTGAACCATACGAGATTTATCAAAATAATGTACTAAGTATTGTACACATTGAAAAGGTCTACAGATTTAAAAATTGCGGGACGTAGCGTTTGCGGCGGTACCGGCCGGCCGGGGAGGCGGGAGCGTGCCTATAAATAGCGCGTCGGAGGCCGCGGTTCTCTCTCTAGCACTTTGAATTTAGCAGCGATCGGACGCGTTTATTATCGGAGCACTCTAGCGAGGAAAACAACAATATACTTAATAAATACGTGTTTTTCAGCGCGACAACGTATCAGTTATTTACTTCATAATAACGACAACGTATCAGTTATTATGAAGTTACGATAAATAATTGTATGGTAGTAGTTTTAAAATATAAATGATATTCTATTCTAAGGTAGATGAATTTTTAAATCGCACTTATAGTAATTATAAGTACATAAGGTTAGATAAGTTAGATTAAAAAAAACCATAATTTATGGATTGGAATTTTCTATAAGATTTGGTTAAATCAATTTAATATTAAATCAATTTAATATTAAGGAAATTATTTTCAAAAATTGTAATTTAAGGTGAGGTATGTAAGTTCAGAAAAAGATTATGAACTGCGATTCATTGTTAAAATATCCATTGATATTTTATACCCATGCGAAGCCGGAGCGGGTCGCTAGTTAAGTATATACTAGGACATCTTAAAGTGTATCTTCGATCACTATGGTTATCTTTGACTGGGTTCCAAATAGAACTTTATTCAAGGCTCATATTATGAAAATTTTGAAATTTTCTCTCTTTAGGAAAAGAAGTAGTAGTGAGTTTTATGAACTTACAGGTTTGCAGCTGATTCTTCTTATAGCAAAGTTTTGATTCTTATCACTTTCTTTTTCTCTCTGTCTGTTTTATTTTCCCCTTTGTTTGTTTATTTGAGTATATTTGTTTTCACAGTTTCAACCTCCTAATAGAGTTTTTACATCCTTTAATTCTTTTACAAGACATAACATAAAGATTTTTTTATAAAGGTTATAGAATCTTTATTTTGCAACCATATCTTAGGAAATCATTGCAACCATTCTTGGGAGGGGGTAATGATTGTGTTATCACTGAATATTGGATAAAACATCTGAAGTGAATTGAAGTTGGGTGGAGTGACACCAGCTTCTGAGAATCAGAGTTAGTCTTTAGTTTGGAACATGCAAGAACGTTTGATTGTTGTGTCATGTGCTTCTGTAAAATATTTCCATGTTTTTCAGAATGACTTTTGTCTTCCTAGACTTTACAAAACATCCTGCATTGTGTAGATGCGAACCCATGAATTAAATTTTTGTTTTGTTTTGTTTTCAGTAAGTATGATTCTGTCTGACAACTTACTACAGTGCCACAAAATATTTTGTGATGCCCATGTTAATGTATCATTATGGCCTATTCTAATTAAATTGAAACTTTAGAAACTTTGAATTAAGTTAAGAATTCAGATTCCTTGAAAGCTATGGCAACTTTTCATAGAGGGGCAGAGAGCTCTTGTTTGTTATTATTTTTTATACTAATCAAGCGCAAGAAAATAATAAATTCACATGTCACCATTTTAACATCTTAGTGAATCATAACTTATATTTATGTGCTTTTATATTTTAAGAGAATCCACCTTTTCTATTAATAATTAGGTGTAACAAATATGTTGCTGAATAATCTTCTCACTTAAATTAAAAATAATGTAGTTTTAAAATGAGCGTGGAAAATTGTTGATATTTTAATGCAAAGATATAGCAAAATTTTTGAATTGTTCTGCTAGTCTTATGTTACTTCATTACAGAAGTAAACAATTTTGGGGATTTTCATTTAAGTATATGAGAGCATATTGCAATGTGAGGCAATATTTGCAAGAACCATTATTAATATTTCACATTATTTTTAATTTTAAAGTGAAAACCTTTGCTTTTGTACAGGAATTTATAACCTTCTATTGATTTTTTAGGTTGCTGCAGCACAACAGCTAATTCAAGCTGAAGCTTCAATTATTGAAGAAGGTATTCGATTAACTGGTAGTTACAGTAGGCCATTTTTAGAACCCATTCCAACTTTCAAGAGATCTACAGAAAAGGGTAAGATTATTTAAATATCTTTTTTAAAATGGCATACTTTTCTTGCTTCTGCTATATACAAATGTTTTGATATTTTAAGAAGGTTGCATTTCTTGTAGATCTTTTTTGTAAAACCAGTATCAGTCTAAGATTAAACTTCACTTAAGTGAGTGTGTTTATTCATCAGTTAAATATAAAAATTGGAAAGATTTGTTTTAATTCCATGTGTAAATTCAAAATTTGCAGCTGTTGATTTGTATTATTTGATAAAGGTGAAGTACATTTGGCCATTTGCCTTATAAGGGACAAGGTTTTCCTAAAAAACTTTTCAAGAGAAAGCATCCTATATTTACATTGGACATGAAAAAGGATCTAGAACTTTTCGCCATTCGTGTTTCACTGTAGCAACTTCGCCATCGCTCTTTTGTTTCTCAGTCTGTCTCACAGTCAAGTAGAAATGAAATAAGCATTGCTTATAATATATATAATTGTTTTCAAACATGGGATGTAAAGAAATTACACAGTTAGTTAGAAAATTGTCATATTTCATAGTTTTGGGTTAAACCTCTGGTATAACAGAAGTTAAAGTGTTGTTTCTAAAATAATGCAGATGTAATATTTACACAATTTATAAAAATTTCTTGAAACTTTAATTAAACTCCTGCAAATAAAATGTTTACCTGGAAAAAAATATTGGCTCTTGGTAATATATGATTAATTCTTGAAGATGTCCTACATTGCAAAAGCTTTTTTTCTTTTAAATTTTAAGACAGCCATCCATACAATGAGTAAACAAAATTATTAAACTAAATAAATTTAATTGTAATATAGCAGGATATAATACAGGCATGTAAAGAAAAATATGGCTTCACTATACAATAGATAAACAAAATTATTAAACTAAATAATCAAAATACAATACAGCAAGGTATAACACAGTCATGTAAAGAAAAATGTCTTGATGGTGAATCAGCCCGAAAGCAAAATGGTTATGTTAAAAAGGCAGTGACAAATATTCCTATTCCCTGGGAAAAACCTTAGAGAAGTGAGAGTAAATTAATGTAGTTATGCATTTTAAACCACAGTGGTACCTTGATATATTCCCACTTTGAAACATGTCTAACTTAGTGTATGCCCTGTTTGGGTGGAAAAATGTTTGTTTGGTATGTATTTATTTGGAATAGGATTCGAGTTTGATGAGACTTGATTGAGTGCATGATGCTTGTTAACCTCTTGAAACAATACTACAATTGCCCAGGAGCATCAGTGCAGATGTTGCTGTTATTTAATAAATAACCTACACTATGACTCTGAATTTTCAAGTGATTTTGCATTTTTTTGCATAAATGTTTTGTGAATTTATTAACAATGAGTTTTAAGAAAGTTAATGAGAAGAGTCGAGCAATGAAGAAAATTGTTAGGATCATTGTGGAGATGTTTTTTTTTTGGGGGGTGAAGAGAGAGAGTAAAGAAAGAAAAAAAAAAAGATTGTTGGAAAGTATGGAGATGGCATGCATATCTGAAACTTCAGTACTGCATACCACATGCTGAATACGGTTATATATACGATAGTGGAAAAAAAAGCTACTAAATCAGCTAACACAGTGAATGGTGTGAAATCAATTACCAAACCAACATCGGAGATACTGGAGCATAGGTTCTTAAAGTTTTTTTGCCACACCATCCTGCTGCCAAAAAAATGAAAATTACCTTACCTCACTTCCCCAGTAATAATACCTATCTTTAAGGGTAGTAAGAACAAGAAACAGAATCTATAAATGTTTTATTGCAAAAATGCACTGTTTTTGCACACATAAGATAAGGGGGGGGGAAAAATCAGTCAGACAAATGAGCTTGCATGTTTTTGAGATTTTCAGTTCTTAGTTGAATGGAAGAATGTGTTCAATGTAAATCACTAGCAATATTGAATTTCATTTTTATTGCTTAACTGCTGAAAATGCTCTTTTGCACAAATAATTGCTTGAAAACAGTAAGTGCAATTGCAGTGCTTGCTCTGCTATGCTGGGATAGAACTTTGAGATATTTTACCTAAACTAATGGCTTGACCATCTTCTTTAAGTTATATTTGGCAGCAGAATGTTTTTTAATTTCCAAAGCTTGCCTCTGTAGTATTTCTTGGTGAACATCTATGTCAAAGTGAAAAGGATTCGTCACAGTCAGTAAATGTTATTATCACACAAGTTAAAAAGGTAACATTAGAATTCATCAGCGAGTTCCTGAAAATGATTTTATATTTTATTAGTATCAGTATCCTCAGCATGCTCCTTCCAGGATTCCAAATAATTTAGAAGAGCAGTTATAATTGCAGGCAAAAATTTTACATTCCCTGAGTTGCAACTTATCAGTATATGCTGTGATGGCCTCACAATGATAAATTATATTTGTATCTACATCTTGTAATTTCAAGTTCAACAAGTCGAAAATATCTAATAGATAAACTAGTGCAACTTGGACACTTGAATTTCAGAATTCTACATGCAATTTATATAGCTTGATTTTGAATTTCCAAGAACTGAATCATTTAATTTCAAAGTTCACATAATCTTGCTAATGTGTGAGATTGGTAAAGTGCACTGGTCATCAAAATAATAAACAATAATAATAACAAATAAAACATAACTGATAATTAATGAAAAACTATTAATATAAATTTTTGCAAAAGTATTAATTAGTATAAATTACAATTTTTGGCAGTTGATTAATGCAAAATATTGAAATTAAAACCAAATTTATGAAAATTGGAAAAATTGTCACCTTTTGTGGAAAAATTTTTCTTTAATATTGTGTATGCTCACCTCGAACAAATATGCATCCTCATGTCTTGATTTCATCTTTACCAATTTGCAAGTATTCTGACACCATATATGCTGGATGAGGCTGAGCATTATCATCTATTATCATAAACTCTGGGCCAGCAGCATCCCTATATTGTCTAACTTAGAGTTCCAGTACTTCATCCACATATCTCCGAGCAGTCATAGAAGCTTCTTGAAAGATCTATAGCTAGGTGTAGCCATTTGTTATGATTTCTCCCCAAACCATTAAACAGCAGTTACAGAAATGGGATATTTCACAGACAGGGAAAGGCAAGTTGCATGTTCTTTCCTCTCTCCAGATCAAAACACATCTAGAATCATTGTTTGGACTGTATCTGGACTTGTCAGTAAATCATACTCGGGCTCAGTCATCTTGGCTCCATTGAATATGATGATGGCACCCAATTAAACAGTGACCAGGGTTTCTGTCAATTGATCCATTGCTTAAAAAGCAGCTGTAAATTCTTCATATGACACTTTGAGGGATATTCAAATCTTGAATGACCTCCATTAGTGTCTGACCTCTCTCGATTTTACCAACTATTTGCCACTTAAATGATGCCTTTGATCACTTTCAGTAACTGAAATCAATACTGATCACTTTCAGAAACCACATTCACTTTAAACAACACTCCAATATGCATCCATTGCTCACCACATAGTCAATCACCGAATTTGCTTTTTTCTGGTGATAGCATATGCACAGAAGTGCAATTTTGTGTTCAGTTGTATTTAGTTAACATAAATAATTGTAGCATTAGGCATTGGTTGCAACATTAAAGTAATGAGCAGATTTTTTTCTCATTATTCTTTAATTTTAATAACCAGAGTATATGCCTTGCTTGAGAGCCAACGTATTTCCGTATGAAAAATAGCAGAGCTTTATTCTGTTCCCAAATCTTCACAAAATGCCATAAAAAGTCAAGTATTTAATGTACTTTTTTTAACATGATGGACAATTTTGATGCATAGTTTTAAGACATTGTTGAATTTGTTTGGAAGTGTCTTAGTTGCAAAGGCTTGACAGTGAACAGTAGTAGCAGTGGGATTTTATTCTCTGACCATCTGTACAAATCCTGAGATGAGATCCAAGCATTGACAATATGCCATCTGTGCATATGCCTATCAGCTTTTGCCGTGACAGTTCACATTTGCAAAAGAATTCAGAGATTGCTGTCATTATATGAATTTCTTTTGAAGTACTCGTTGCTCTATAGAAAACAGCATTTTGTCCTTAATTGTTTTGTATGTATTGAAGGAAAACTAACAGTTGACAACATTTTCCAACATCTGTACGCTTATTCAACTGTGTTGTGAAAAAATTTGATACTTTTACAGCCTGCACTATCTGGTTTTTTATGTCTCAGCCATATCATCAATGCAATGTTTCACACTGCTGTCAGAAAGCAGTATTTGTGAAAGTTTCTGTTTATTTTAGTCCAAGAACAAAATCAGCTACTTTCAACAGCCACGGTTTGACAAGTGTTTCTCCAATAATATAATATGTCTTGGCTTTAGCTATGAGTAGCGACAGTGGCGTAGCGAGCATAATTGGCACCCGGGGCAAAATACTATTTTGGTGCCCCCCCAAAAAAAAACACTTACAGTAATATAATGTATAGAATATATTCGTAATAAGAAAATAATGCAAATAGTAATAAAATGCTGAATCTGCCATAAAAATAATCTAAAACATGTTAAGAATAGTCACTACCTAAGCACTACATTCGGATTCGGAAATGTATCTGAGTTGGGCTGAAAATCAAAATACGATGATCTGAATTAGTTAAAAATTTATTTATTTTACATATTTATATTATTTTTTAAAATTTTAAATTAAAGTTTAATATATATTACGGTAAGATATATTTATTAAAAATGTAATATTATAAATTAATAACAATTATACTATGTATACATTTTTGTTGCCTTAGATAAGGAATGCAATTTTCATCAAAATTTCAATTTTCTCTTTACATTAAAATTTTGACTTAGGTGAATTGACCGTAATATGTCAAAATTATTTTAATTTTGCTGAACCAAACGTACCTAGCATTTGATAATAAATAGGAATGAAGTAGAAGGTGCGAACTCTAGGTTTAGAAACAACTTCCCATAGATCTGTAATGGAGTTTAGGTTCAATTTTTTTCTACTGCAGAAATATCTTGCACTCACATTCACTGCTCAAACAATTAGGGGATATTGTGATTTGGTATTGAAAATAATTAAATCAACAACCATTTTAACAAAAAGAATATAAGATTATTAAAGGAAAATTATAATGTTACAAAATATGCAAATTTAGCTGTTACGTCTGAAACCATGCATATTAGATAAGGAGGAGCAAGCTGCAGCATTCCTTTGTAGTAGGATATTAAAAACAATTGACACGCGTTGAAATGCTTTGTAGCAGTGAAATAACGATGTCTCAGCAAGATGACTTAGTTGAATCGGTAGAAGGCCATCAGTCGTTTACAGGAGAGTCAAACGAAATCCATTGTAGCGGAAGTGTTAAGAGTTTCAAAACTGTCATTTCCAGACTATGGAATTGTTTTTGGAAACTGGATATGTTTGAGAAATGCGGGACAAGGTCGTGTTATCGTTTTAAAATAAAAAGCGGGAGCTATATGCATATTTCGTTTAAAAAAAACTAAAAATATATCTATTTTACAGAAATAAAGTGGTCAGAAAGAACGTTTCGTATACGGAGATGTTTCTTTGATGTACTGCAAACATTTTATTACACATTTTATCAGACAAACCAAGAAAATAATTAATTATATTACAAATTATTAATTTTAAATATATTTTCCAGAAATCGATCAAAATAAAAACTGAAATTTTCCTGAAAATTTTGTTTGGAGACCATTTGGCGCCCCTCTGCGAGCGGCGCCGGGGCATCATACACCCCCTTGCCCCCCCTCACTAAGCCACTGAGTAGTGATAATGCATACTAAGCTTTGAATGCTTTTTCAGATGTCTGAGCAAAGGTGTACTATTATCCAAGTTCATATGTTTCAAACTTGTACATGTTGCAGTTAAAAAAAAAATCCTTTGGCTTGTCTTTTAAAGTGCTATGTTTTGTTGACAAATATAGCTCCAAATAAGAATGTCTCACAACATTATTGCTAAGTACTTCATATCAAATATCACATTGTGGCTGGTTGGTAACTTTTTTTTTTTGCATGTGCCAACAAGACTATTTAATATTATCATTATTGTATTTGCGTTTTTAATAGACTTTAAAACTTTTTTAAAAAAATTCATAGTTTTTTTTTTTTTTTCCATCAAAAGTTAACATAACTGCACTGCTAATGGCTGAATGCAGACCCAACTAAGGTGGTGCGAGTGACGTGGATGGTGCGATATGCACGGATGGCCTTACCTGCACCTTTCTTTAGATGTTATCAATCAATGCAATCTTTGCAAATATTTGCATTCAGATTTCCCCCCCTTCCCCCCCCCCCCCCCCCTTTCTTTCCCCCCCCCCTTTTTTTTTTTTTCCCCCCCCTTTTTTTTCCTCCTTTTTTTTTTCTTTTTTTCTTTTTTCTTCCCCCCCCCCCTTTTCTTTTTCCCCCCTCTTTCCTTTCTTCTCCTCTCCTCCCTCCCTCCCTCAGGGTTTCTTAAACTTTTTGGTGTGAGAACCCCCTAATATTAACAAAAATTTTGTGGGATCCCCATAAGCGAACTCTCATTTTCTTCATTTGTACTGTAATATACTATTGCAGTTTTAGGTCATTGATTTTAATTTTTAAAGTAAAAAAAAAAAAAAAAAATGCATCGAAGCATTTTTTTTTTTTTTTTTTGTCTGTATTGTCTTATCTTTATGTATTTTTAGATACATCATGTAAAAATATTTGGTAATTATAAATTATTATAATAAGTTAAAAAACATCAAAATTGCTAAATTTTTGGCAACCCCTTACTGCAAGTTTCGTGATCCCAATTGGGGTCATTTAAGAACCTCTGCATTAGTGCATGCTGAAAAATCACTACTGATCTGGATAGCAGAAAATCAGTACAGTATCATGTGTAGTGCTTCATTTATGTTTAGTATATATTTCACCTACTGCATTTATCTCCTGCTAAATAGTTTTCATACAGTATGTTTAACAAATTGTTGAGCCACATGCCTCGGCAACAGCGAGTGAACATTATGGTTTGAGCTTTTTTAAGTTGTAAGTCTTGGTTTATTATTTTATTTATTATTGCTGCAGATGTATTTTAATACTTTGTAATTGTTTTCTGTGCCGGTAGATTTTCTGTATTACTAATGATTTAACTTTAGAAACAGTGCATACCTTTTCTGGATATTCGTATGGAGTCTTTTCTTGTAGAAGTAATGATTTATGGCTTTTTCCCTTCTATGTTTATTCCATACTTAAAAAATTTTTGAAACCATGCATTTCACAATGTTTTTGAAGTACTGAATAGGAATACTTCTGTTGTCTGTTGTTCTGTTCTGTCCAAAAACATAGTCTTCAATTCACAGTTTACATGCAGCATTTTGAAAGAAGAATAAATTTAAAAGTAGCAGACAGTGTTTCTTATTTCAAATAATAAGATGTTGCCAGAAATTATTTCAAATTTTCTAAGTTCTATATCGAAATTGTTCTAAAAATGTGTAAACAACCTCTGTATTTGTGTATTCCATATTTCATTAAAAATATAAAAACCCATTACTTAAACCAATTATTAGTTATGTACATGTTTTAATGAAAATGTTTCTGCATGCTTTTTAATTGTCCTCTAATCTTTGAATCATAATTATATATTTTTATTGAACAATATAATTTTGAGTTTGTAATTTACCTACATACAGAGTTGCCATGCTACCAGGAAAACCGGAAAAAGTCAGGGAATTCAAAAATTGACAAAAACATTCAGGGAAAAGTCAGGGAATTTAAATATGTGAGTCAAAATCTGGAAAAGTCGGAATTTCATACGGCTATTCCCCCAAAAAAAGCGAGTTTTACGCCGACATTGGAAGCGATCACATTCTTGGCGAATTATGTATCACGTGAGCATCATTCGGCCAGCTGGCATAGAGCCAATTTTCACAGGTCCAATCAAATTGTCTTTTAGAAAAGCAAAGCAAATTTCCAGCAACTTTTGGTTTTAGTAAATAATACTTTCAAATTTCAGGAAATTTTCTTCTGGCATAATCCTGAAATTAATTCTAGCAGTATGATGACATACCATCACGAAATTTAATGCACATGTTCTTTGCTTATGTATGCTACTAGATAAATATAAAAATACCTGAATTTATTTAAAAATATCATTAAATAGATTTTTCTTTCGCTTAGCTGCAAAATGTCTCCAAAAAAAGACATTTTGTAATCCAGATTGCACAGATTCTAATCTCAATATTCACTGGAGAAAACAGCTTCTATTATAGTTATAATAGTAATGCTTTGGGGATTATATATTATAAGTCATATGTAACTGGCAAATTTTTGTATTTTCAAGTGGTACCATAATTAATTTATCTCTTAGTACAGCCAATGTGCATTACGCGGATGAACTGGAATTTTCTTAAAACACACCTGGAAAACTTGGAAAAGTCAGTGAATTTCATTTGCCTGTTTGAGTGGCAACCCTGTACATATTTTTCAGAAAAATGTTTTAAAAATACATTACTATACTAATAAAAATACTAATACTATTACTATACTAATACATTACTATACTAATACATTACTATACTAATACTTGTCATAATAAAAAAATGCAGTTCATTTTAAAACTTACATTTAACATAATCTTATTTAATGCAAATGTAGTACTGCTATTGATTATCTGCTTTAACCATATTTTTATCTTTTCCCATTTGAAATTAATAATTGTTTGTAAATATTTATTTTTTCTTTCAGATACTTATAAACCACCTCTAATACCAGATGTGATTGATTTAATTCCTCAAACAAGTTTATCTTCGAAAAACTATAGTAATATTGACTCAGAAGATGTAAATGCTAACAACAGCACAGAGGTATTTTCTCCCAACGGCAAAAAAATTGTGAACAACCCCAAAATTACAAATAATGGTAAATTGAATGTAAAAATTGTGAACTTTTGTAATAATTCATTATTTTGAATATGTTCTAGGAAATATTATGCAATGCAAAGTCTGAGACGACACAACACATAGATGCCTTTAAAAGCAAATAGCTGGCACTTGCCATCGTTTCAAAGTTTATAAGCAGCAAATGTTTGCTAAATTTTACAAGTTATGTGAAATCACATCAAATTTCACTTAATATTCAAAACAAGGAGTACACAGTGCAGTGCAAATCAATTAGTAGGCGATGCTTAGATATAAAAGTTAGTGTAACATGATTTGACCTCTTTTTCTTTAAAGATACAAAGAGTGTGAATAAAGTTTTCGTAAAAAAATTCCGAATTGATATAACATAACAGTTTATCTAAATTTTATTAATGTTAATGTGAGGTGTGGTCAATAAAAAAAAGTTAGCAAAGGATGTCCAATATCATGACCCATGGAATCGAAGAAGGGTTGTTTAACTTCAAAATTTTTGAAATCTTTAGTAACCCAGGTTAGATTTTGTAAGGAAGTATACATTAGCTGCTCATTCTCCGTTTTTGTCTCACGTTTGGGAGGGGGGGGAAAGATTAAAATTTCAACCCGCCTTCTACATGACAGCAAGAAGTTTCAAATTTCTGGGACTGTCTATACTAATGTACATACTAAAAACAATAAAAGACTGTGTAATTCATCAAAATGGGGCAATATAAGGCATTATGGAACAGTATGGCACTACTTAGTTCATTTTCAGTTTTTTATGTTATGTAATGTTGACTTTTCAATGCCATAATCCTCTGAATATGCCTTTGTCCATTTTTTTGCAACAGTTCCACTTTCTGCTTGACTGACATAGAAACATTCTTTAGATTTGCAAATCTTGCTTTAGTTCCAGAATTAGAAACTTTTTTTAATATAATCGAAAATTCAAGCTTTAACTTTTATAAGATAACAGTCAGTAATAATAATAGCCTGTGAAAAATGTTAAGCTACATAAAATTGGAAAGGTAAGGATGAGTGTAATTTTCAGGGCAATGATCACCAAAAATTCTTCTATGAGTGTTATGCAATTTGGAATAAATTCATAAAATATTTTCTGTTGCTAATTATGTAACTTTTCTTTTTAATGGTTACTGGTAGATAAAATTCTAATAAAAAAGTTTCTGATATTAAATGAAAATACAAAATATTTTTAACTAAAGTATTTTAAATAAAATAAGTTTTTTTTTTTTTTTTTTTTTTTTTTTTTTTTTTTACAATGAAAATGGGACCACTTCAGTGAGAATATGTTTTAAAAAGAATGAAAATTAGATTGTATGTTTTGGATCATGAGAATACTGTAGATGTTAGTTGTGTTTAATGGTCAAACAATTTTTTGTTTTGGAAGACATTATCAGTAAATTTTAGTGTGAAAATAAAAGAAAACAGTTTGCTTTATCTAACTGAAAAACAGAAATAAATGCTGCAGGAAAATGGGAAGAAAAAAAACTTTTTTACTGTTTTTTGTATTAAAAATACATGTTGTGATATAAAATTGTAATTTTTCACCTTTCTCAATATGAAGATTTCTATGTGCAGGTATGAATTATAGAAAATATTATTTTTTCCCAAATATAATATGAAAAATTATAATATTTAGACTACTTTTGTATAAGTTGGGCCTGTCATTGGAGTGGCTGAAAGCAGAAGGCACTGGCAGTTTCTCCCAATTTTTTTCCTTGTGGGCTAAACAGGATTTTTGTCAGTTTTCCTGCATATTACATCAGTGGTCTCGAACTTTTAGCCTACAAATACATTTTAATTATGTATTTTTACAAATATGGTGCTTATAGTTTTAGGGGAATAAAAAAATAGACTGAGCTTATGTATGCAGCTGCTATTTAACCGTTTGAGTCCAGCGAAGCGCTATCGCGCTTCACTTGTCGTATGCCAAAAATACGGCGCAGCGTGATAGCGCTTCTCTGGTTTTGTATTGAGAATGCGAAGACGCTGCTGTTGGTTAGTATACTTGGGGGGGGGGAAATTATTGAAAATTGAAATATTCAATTGGTTTCGCATCAGGAGGAGGGGCATGCTTTGGTCCAGATACTTCAGAAAAAGTATTCGATTTGTTCAAAAAAATTGTATCCACGGCTAAAAACTCATCAATAATATCATCATCAGAGGTACTTGCAGTTACTTCATCATCATCACTAATAACTCGTAATCTCTTCGAACGAATGATGATGTCACTTCCACTATCACTTTCAAGGTCATTACTATACTCTTCATTATCACTTCTCATAATATAGTCACTTTCACATGAATCAGAACTTGACATGGGTTTATTTCATAATTATCAGTATAAAACTTAGTAAAGAAAGTGAAAACTATTTCCAATTCCTATAAAACAACTGCTACTGATATCACTAGAAATGCTCTCAATAATCGCGTAAAGTATACTAACCAACATCAGCGTCTTCACATTCTCGATAGAAAACAAGAGAAGCGCTATTGCGCTGCGCCGTATTTTTGGCATACGACAAGTGCGCGCTTCGCCGGACTCAAACGGTTAAGGAAAAATATAATGAATAATTTGGAGCTTTTGTCTTTGTATGCTTGTACATCAAGTTATGTGAGTAAGATAATATGGGAGAATTTCCCACATTAGTACAGTCAGTAAATTCAGTTAGCCGGCTTCAGCTGGCAAACTAAATTTACTAAATTACTGACAGCTAAAGTTGGGAAACTAAATTTTACTGAGTGTACTAATTAAGGTTTAAAGTAAGGAATTAGATAATTCAACATAATGCAATTATCTGAAATAAATGTTGGTCTAATTTTCACATTTAACTCTCGGTGCATTTGAATTACAAAGGATAATCATAGAAATTTCTCGCAAGTACCAACATTTAAGCTTCAGATAGAAAATTAATGTAAATTTGAATGTCTTCATTGTGCTGTTATTGTGGTTTATGTATGCTTTAATGAATATTCTGTAAGTATAATTTTAAAGTTTTTATTTTATTTATTTTTGTTTTGTTTTATTGTTTTAAAATTTTGTTAAAAAAGTGCTGTGACTTGTCGGATACTTTCAGACTGAGCATTCAGCGTACATGAAATTTGAATTTGAGATTACTCTATTACATGACTACCAGGTTCCCTCAGGAAGTCCTGTCTGTGCTATTTGCCTAAAATGGAGAATCTGCATAGCTCATTTTGGGCAGATATCTCTTGCATGTTTTACCATAATCAATAAATTAAAATTACTGTATTAGTTCAATTTTATACTCTGTTTGCATATAACGTAAAATTAATGTGTTTTGTAATGTTTATTGCCTTTTAAATATGACTAAATGAATCCCACTTTTCTAGGTGTATTGGAGAGTAATGCTTTGAGCTCATTTGAACAAGAAAGAGATGCATGCAAGCCTAATAAAATTACAAATTACTATGCAGCATCTGAACCAGAGAGTAAATTTGCATTTGCAAGAGATTTAAAAAAATCATTTAGTTGCTCTCCTTCTAGTAATAGAACTGCTGAAAAAAAGCATGGGCCTTTTATACCAGAGGAAAAAGAAGAAATTAAAGAAAATATGAATTCCTTTCAAAATAATACTTCTGAGTTATCTACAACAGAAAAACAATCCAACACTCCAGAATTCTTAAATAGTATGGATAATATAGAATCTGGAAAAGCAGGAATATCTCTTTTTCCAGAGGCAGAAGAAAAATGTGCATTGTTTACTGAATTAATTTCCAGTAATGAGACAAATAATGAAAACAACAAAACAATTGATTTAATAGACTCTTTTGAAGATACTGAAGACAAAAGAAACAAAACCAGTATATCTAATATTAATGATTCCAGAAATCTAATGAATAATGCTAATTATGTTACTGATAAGTTTAATGAAGAAAATATGGGGAATTCCAAACTGAGTATTCTTGACTGCAAGGAATCGTGTGAAAATCCTGATGAAGTGGAGAAAGAAAACACTGAGAATGCAAAACTGGACATTCTTGATTATAAGAAATCATTTCAAAATACTGATGAGATCGAGGAAGAAAGTGTTCATTTTCCAACTTGTAACATTAGATCTTTGGAAGAACCTCTCCAAAATTCTCTGACTAACGAGAAAAGCTGTAATAAATCATTATCTTCTGAGACTGAAAAAAATTTCTCATTTTCTAAACCGGACACTCATGAAAGTAAATTTAATGATACTACAAAAGGTAACCATCTTGTGTATAATGAAGATACATCTTTGGAAGTATCTCCAGTTCGCAGTCCACCTGGGAAAGATTCCGAATTAATGTTCTTTAAAACAAGTTCATTCAGTGTGAGAAAATTACAAAATGAAAATGATCGCACAAGATTTTTGAATGAGAGTTTAAGCTTTGATGATGAGGTAAGTCTTAAATGTAATATTTAAATATTCATTTATAATTTTAAAAATGTGCAGTTTCAAGGAGTTTTCTGTGAATTATTCTGTATTATTATTACATAGGAGGGTAAGGTGAAAATTTCTCGGCCTTACATTGGAAGACTATGACTTTCAGTTAAAAAATTATTTTATTTTTTTACATAATCTCCCATGACTTAGAAACACACTTGGTCCAGCATTTGTCCAACATCAATATTCCTTTCCAGAAGTGAGAGTCTGGAAGGTTGAGAAAATATTCATCTACGACCCTCTCAACTTTTTCACCTGGATGCAAAGCACTTCCCAGAAACAAATTTCTTCAAGTTTGGGAAGAGATGGAAGTCTAAGGCTGCCAAATCAAGAGAATAGTGGGGGGGGAACGGCTGAGCAAATTGTACCCAAAATCCTGAAGTTTTCCCATTGCCAATGCACCCGTGTGCACAGGTGCATTGTCCTGGTAAAAGACGATTGTTTCTTCTTCAAGCAAGGCCTCTTCTCGCGAATTTTGGCATCAGCTGGTCAAGAAGGTTGCAGTAATATTCACCTGTAATTATTTCCCCTTTTGCAAGGTAATTAATTAACAGGATCCCTTTCGCGTCCCAAAACACTCTGACCATGAAGTTTCTGGCAGATGCAGTCGCTTTCTTTGGCACTGAACCACCGGCTTCCACCCATTGCTTGGAATGCTATTTTGTTTCTTGCCTGTAGTGATGAACCCATGTCTCATTCATGGTGACATATCACCGTACAAAATCAGTAGGATCCCTGTACATATCCAAAGATTTCTCTGAAAGTCATTTGCTTTTGATCGGCAAATGCGGCACCTATCTTGCACAGAGCTTTCACATCCCTAATTCTTTATGCAAGATGTTTTGCATCCTTTCTTCCGATATCCCCACAGCTTCAGCTATCTCGCACACACCCTTCACTTGCCCATCGTCCATCACAATATCATGCACATTTTCGATGGTTTCCGGTGTGGTTGCGGTTTTTGGCCGTTCTTCACGTGGGTCATCTTCGAGGGATGTGCTACCACTTTTAAATTCAGCTGCCCACTTTTTAACGGTTGACATGGAAGGAGCAGAGTCCTCGTAAACTTTGATCAACTTCAGATGAATTTCCTTAGGGCTTAATCTATCCAAAATGAATAATTTTATGACCGCACGATATTCAAGTTGATCCATTTTAATGACGTCATACAAACCTGTTTTTGAAGTGCAAGACGTTTACTTCAAAAATTTGTGTAAACAAGCTACGTGAGAGAACAAGTTGAAACTTGTGATACGAACTAATGATACCTGCACCTGTGTTGTATTTTATATGTGTTGGGTGCGTGCTCAGTGATGATTACAAGATGTACACAAACATCTTTTATTCTACATTGCTCATCTACTAATCTATATTACAGTTATGATTAAAGATAATAATAGATACAGTTACAGTTACATAACATCTCCCTTTTTTATAAAAAATAATAATAGTAGTAAAATTAAACATATTCTTTTAAATAATAAGGTTTCTTAACAGTCCTACCAGATCGAGTGACGTAGTTATGTCCATTTGAAAAATTTGATGATACTATACCTCTTTCACTATTTGGTGACACAACACTTCTGTTAGATTTTGAAGGACTTACAGGCACATCTAAATTTGTAGTGCTCCTACTATTTTCATGTATCTCGGGTTCATCTATAACTTCGTTCTCATAGTTGTTTTGTATTGCAAACTCTTCCTGATTATTTCCTTTAAGAAGGTCTCTTCTGTTCCTTCTACATTCTTCCATCTGTTCTTATAATCCTGTATGAACGTGGTCTTTCTGCTTCTTCTATAATTTTCCCTCTTTCATTTAGTTTTTTTCCCTTTCTCTTTTATGTAAACATGATCTCCTACCTTCAGTGGTTTTAACGGTCTTGCATTCCTATCATAATAACTTTTTTGTAAGGTTTGTCTCTTCAGTAAATGTTGTTTATGGTCTTCATATCGTTTAGCTTGGACGAAATTCTCTTTTATAGGCATCAATCCATTTACTTTTCTTCCAAACATCAATTCTGAAAGGTGACTTAATTTCATCTGAAATAGGAGAGTTACGATATTCTAGTAAAACTAAATATGGATCCTTGTTGTCAACTACAGCTTTTTCTAACATTCGCTTGACAGTTTGAATATGTCTTTCAACCATTCCATTGGACTGTGGGTATTTTGGACTTGAAGTTCTGGTTTCAAAATTCCATCTTCTTGCAAAATCTTTATATTTCCTGCAATTATATTGTGGACCATTATCCGAATATACTATTTTCTGAATACCATGTCTTGCAAAAATTGATTTCAATTGCTTTATCACTGCTACACTTGACAAATCTTCCAAATGTCCAATTTCAACATATTTGCTAAAATAATCTATAACTATTAGATAATCCCTTCCTTGAAAGTAAAAGAGGTCTGTTCCCAATACTTCCCATGGATCATTAGGTATTTCTTTAGATATCATTGGTTCTTTAGTATTAACCTTTTGTAAACTTAAACATGTTTGACAATTCAGTACCAAATCTTCAATTACTTTGTCAACATCCTTCTTATCTTCTTCATTTAAATTAAAAGTATTAAATTTTTCAAGTGCTTCAATTTCTTTGGACATTCCTGGCCAATATAATATTTCTCTTGCTTTGATCTTGCATTTTACTACTCCTAAATGACCATAATGAATTCTGCTTAACATATCTTTTTGTAAACTTCTTGGTACAACAACACAGGAATTTTTAAATATTAATCCATTCGCTTCTGATAGTTCTTCTCTGAAGTTAAAATATGGTTTTGCCAGTTCTGGAACCATACATTTTTCATCTGGCCATCCAGTTTTAATTAATTTTCTTAAAACTTGTAGTCTTCATCTTTTTCTGTTTCCAGTTGAAAACTTCCATTTTACCATTAGACATTGGTATACATTCTACAACTAATCCAACATGAGCTTCTATTTCTCCTTCAAAGAAATCAGACCCTTTATCAGTGAATGATCTTGATAATGCATCCGCTATAAAAGTTCTTTTCCTGGTTTATATTTTTACCTCAAACTGATATGGCTGTAATCTTATACGCATTCTTTGTAGTCTTACAGGGCATTTATTTAATGGCTTTTTAAAAATTGATTCCAGTGGTTTATGATCACTTTCCACAGTAATATTTTTTTCCAAATATATATTGGTGAAATTTCTCACACGCAAATACAATAGCTAAAGTTTCCTTTTCAATTTGAGCAATAATTCTTCTGTGTATCTGTTAATGCTTAGATGCATATGCCACTGGTAAATTATTCTGCAGTAAGACTGCTCCTAGTCCTTCTTGAGATGCATCTACTGATAAAACTACTGGCATGTTTATATCATAATACTGTAAAAACTGGTTTATTTACCAAGACATCTTTTAGTTTTTTCTAAATGCTTTTTCATGTGTACTGCATTCCAGTTCCAGATAACTTGTTTTTTCAACAAATCTCTTAAAACATGATGTCATTTCTGATACATTAGGTATTAAATCTAGAAACATATGTAATCATTCCTAGGAAAGCTTTCTAATTCCTTTCACATTTTTTGGTGGTTTTTATATCTAGAATAGCCTTAACCTTGTCTTCATCTGGTTTTAAACCATTCTTTAGAAAATATATGTCTCATATATTTCACTTCATTCAGCCCAAATTTACATTTATTAAATTAAATTTAACATTCTTTTCTCTTAAATTTGTTAAATTTAGGCAATGGTTCACATTACACTGAGCTCCAGTATCCAACTTAACAAATAATATTTAGATATTTACTTTTAGTTTTTCAACCATTCTGTTTTATTTTTAGGAAAATGGATTTGTATCTTCTACTGACCCTAAAATATATTCATTACCATTATTATGTAAATCATGCTCTAAATTATTCTGTACAACATTAACATTTTTAAAAGTGCACATTTTAGAAAAGTGATTTTTCTTTTTACAGTACAAGCAAATCTTATTATAAGCAGGGACAGTTGTATAACTTATGAAAAGTTCCACATTTTCTACATGGTTTTGGATTATTGTACTTATTTCCTTGATAGTTTGAAGAAGATTTAGTACTTTGTTGCTTTTGTTTTACATGATAGTCTTTCTTACAGGCTGGACTTTTTTCCTCTGAGGTCGAAATTTATTACGTTTGATAGCTTCTATTTTATGTTCTTCAGTTAAAGTTTTCAGCTGAAGTTCTGCTAATTCAGAAGTTTTACACATTTTAATACATTTCTCCAATGTTAACTGATCTTCCCTTAATAATCTATCTTTGAGATTTTTATTTAGAATTCCACTTACTATTCTATCCCTTATTAAACTATCTTTTAATTCTGCAAATTCACAGTTGCTACTTAATTTCTTTAAATTGGTTAAGAAATCATCAAACGATTCACCTACATGTTGCATTCGACAGAAAAATATATGTCTATCAACACTTTCGTTAGCTTCAATTACTTTGTCAACATCCTTCTTATCTTCCTCACTTAATTAAAAGTATTAAATTTTTCAAGTGCTTTTTCACCAATTATATGCAATAAAATAGCTACTTTAATTTCAGGTGATTTAGTAATACCACCAGACGCTAACATATAAATTTGGAATTTTTGTTTCCATTTCTTCCAATTTTCGCTTAAATTTCCTTCGAAACTTAGATTACTTGTTGCTTTAATCCATCCATATTTAATTTAGGACTTTAAATAGTTTATATATACGTATTTTTAGCCACTTCCAATAAAAATAAACAACTCACTTACCAGCGATATAAGTCTCGATTTCACAGTAAACAACTTCCCATGATGTTTTTTGTTTAGAAACATCTTTACCGAGGCTGCATGGTTCTTCAAAAAAGATTTTCTTTTTTAATCAACGACCGGCTGCGCCATGTGTTGTATTTTATATGTGTTGGGTGAGTGCTCAGAGATGATTACAAGATGTACACAAACATCTTTTATTCTAC